TCTTCAATATTCTAGACCGCCCCAAGTATCGCCTTACCCCAAAAATGCACAATTTTAAGACAACCTTTTTCACCAGACTAAATCCTGCTTTCTGTAACTTTTTATTTTGCGACAAGTTCAGTATTTGAGTCGTGTAGTTATACTATCATTGAAATGGGTTGTTTTAGGCCCTTGAGTCATAACTGTATTCACAAAAAAAAAAAAAAAAAAAAAAAAAACTGCTCTTTCAAAGAATGGTAAAAATGAACAATCGCAACAGCGCATTGTATCGACAACAAAGGCCGCTGGGAGAAAGGGAGGGGGGGGGAGGGCGAATGAATTCAACCGACTCTAAAATATAGATCTAATTCCACCCAGCGATAAAAAGTTCATTTAAAGAGAAAAGGGTGGTGTCAGTTTAGGAAGAATAGTGGAATTTCCCATTAAGGTTTCAATGAGAGAATTACCCCAGAACGTTGATTTAACGGCTTCGCTTACACTTGTCCCGATTTTGAATAGGGTTCATCGCTCTGATCGGCTTTGTCGAGTGACCAGTCGACCGTCCATGGGTATTCTGCCCTGGGTAATGAGGCGTCCGATCGCCTTGGTGAACCCGGGGATTTCGCCACGGTTCGAACGATTTATCGAAAACGATGCAGTAACTGTAACAGTGTGTTTTGTCTGTAGACTATTTCTGGCCTATGGTATCGGTTCAGATAAGCGTGTCGTGTGTGTATTTTTATGATCGAGTAAAGATTTGGCTTAACGAAGTGGACTGGACCCCTTAAGCCCTCTTCTTTCACTGCGCAGGACAGGTGTGATTTAAAACATGGGGGACCCTCCTTAAGGACACAGGACTAATTTTTTCACTAGGTATTCACAGATATTAATCTGACTATTCAAAAGTTGTGCACGTTTTTATTTGTGGGGTTGGGGTTATGGGGTTAGCTCCCTCTTCTGACACCCCCCCCCCCGAAACCTACACCTTTGTATATATATTAAACAGGCAGAAAATGAAAAATAAATTAACTCAGAAGTAATATACTCTCTATCTACTAGATGATACCAATATTCTCAGAACCAGCGGCTTGTTACTTCTAGTAGAATCCGCCTATATATAAACAGCGCAATATAACAGCATTTATTACTATACGACGTAATGAACGGCAATGAACGGCCTCTAAATACGTGCGATACGGCAAACACACTGGATTACCACACTTACGGCTAATTGAATGTTAAGTCTATTATAACGGTAAATATTGACCATGGATAGCTATATAGTCGAAGATAAGGCGCGCGATAAGCATGTTAACGGGGAGTAAGCAAGTGTGCATTTGCACGTAGCGAACGAGATTATCTAAGAAATTTTTATAGTAACTTACATTTTTTGCTTGATATAGTATGAATGATTCAAATCTAAAACTTAAATGTACCGGGTCCAATCTATGGCTCTCTTGTGTTAAGCATACTGGTATTTTATCAGTTTCGAAAATAACAATAAAACAATAAATAAAATGGGAAAACAGCATTGCTTTGCCCTTAACGTTTGCCTTTAAGCTTGGCTCCAAGTTTTATTGAGTTGATACCGATGTTTAACATTATTTTTCGATTAAACTCAGGGTACTGCTCTCGGTGTGTCAGACCTTGTTCAAAGTTTGCCAGGCTGCTGAGGAAGGCTATCGTGAGAACGTCGCAGAGTGGACATTGCCCAGGACTGTTGTTGTTTCCCGGGGGATAGTTGACGTAATGTCGTAACATATTTGTCATTTTCATTGACAACCTTGTGCGATAACAAAACAAACCACAGACTCAACATAAACTTAATCATCCATAGCGCTTATATTCTGTACCAGTACTTCTGCCCTAAACAATAGCGCTACCCAAGCTTTATTAACTGCCGTCGCCGTCAAAGGCCGTGAAAAAATATCGTATGTTGAAGGGTTACTTTATTTGTGTTCGTAACCAGTTAAATCAAATAACCATGAAGTTAACGTAAGCAAGCACAGCTTTGAAGCGCGTTTTCGTGTCGATGTTGAGCAAACATACCGCGCCGAAGGTCAAGAAGTTATGTATTATTTCAATGGAACCTCTGGAAAAAAATCGGAGGGCGGAATGTTTTTAGTGTAAACATAAGGTGCGAATAGCTTGTCAATAGAGCAATAAGCAGCGGAGCTTAATATTTGTAGAGATACAGTGTACTAGCATGACAAACAGAGGATAGCTTAAAGGTATTGGGATATTAATGGTAAATTGTTACATTTAGAACTGGTTATTTCTTTTTCATTAAAGGATACGTGAATATCACTAACTTCGCCCATGGAAACCTTATGAGGAAATAGCTCGTGTGGTGGCTGACGAATTCGATAATTAAAAAATACAACAAATAACAATTGACAAGCGTCTGTTAATTAATTGACAAGTGAATTTTTTTCTATATATAACATGGTTAAGCAAGGGGATTCGCTGTATTGCAAACTTTGCGGAATATTTGTTAAAAACCTATGAAACTCACGGTAGAACATTTGCAAATTTGCAAAAAGTCAAAAAAAAAAAAAAAAAAAAAAAAAAAAAAGAAGAAGAAGAGAAAGAGGAAGAACTTTAAAGCTACAATTTATAAACCTGTCTGTCTTCGCAGCAAATACAGCTGTAATAAGTTGGCATTTTGATATACGTGAACTCGTTTTCCTCGCATACAAGACACACTTAACATTTCACTGTTGACAAAAACTAAGGTCATGTCGCATAGATTCTTTGTTCACTTTAATAATGTTTAATTTGCTCATTGTGCGTATGAATCGGAGTGTCATCTTAGATTGTCACTAAGTTATTCAGCTTGTAGGCACGTGAGGTGGGGATTTAGAAAATGCCTATAAACACACCCATGGTTAGCCTTCTTTATATAGCGGTGTGACAGGAATGCAACTCCTAGGAATGGAAGTCCGGGCAGTACAGGTTAGGGTTAGTATATGCAAGGACGTCCGTGGTATATGGGACCAATATCACCTGTACAAAGTAATCGGGAACGGACTACGCTTCGTACTGTAGCGGACTACCATTCCTGTCACACCTGTAACAGGCTTGCTTCTGTAATAGACATTTTTATAATGTACTAACTTAGCCATCATATATATATATATATATATATATATATATATATATGTATATATGGCTGTTGTTAGACTGTACTTGAATTCCCTAATCCGAGAGATTTTTTAAATAAAGTTCACGAAAATATAGTGGGCTTTTGATTTTTAGATAAAACGGTATTGTATTCTTTACATTTAAAGTATATGAGCAAGAGTACAATACAGTTTCACGTCAATGTTTCCAAAGGTGTTGTCCCTAGTACGTCATTCAAGGATAAAATGTTTAATTCAAGTAGAAATTAAGAAGGTTTTAATCTTGACATTACCCCTTTACGTACGCGAGCCTTTAATAAAGTGTACTCCTCAAACAGACTGGCTATAAAAATATCAAATGAAGGCAACTTGTTGGGGTATTTATTTCACATTTGTTTGCACGTTAAATCTAAAAGGTTCCGAAATCGATCGGGTACACGGATTGTGTTAATTTACATCTTACTGTTATAATCAACTGAAGGAAATTGACCAGAATCGAGTTACGATTAGTACTTTTTAATCTCACACAGGAGTGGTTGTTATAATATTACAGCTGTTGAAATATTTCCTATAGTGTTTTAAAGTAATTTCAGGAAAACATTGCTTCTCAAAAGTGATTTGTTTTTTCAAATCTCTTTTTTTTTTTTAAGTCAGATAAGCCACAGTGACGTACAAATTAAGCTCCATCACAGGTGCTAAACGCTGGTCGCATTGCGTGTAATTTACGAGGCATGTAAACATACATGTAGCAGTTAAAGGTCGGCTCCCACATGCCGACAGCATTTTCGTAACGATTAAACCAATGTTTGACAATCCCAGGGGCGGATTTAGGCCGTCTTCTGGGTCTTCTGGAAGACGGTCAGATTTTTAAGTTAACATTGACGGGTATCTAATTTTTTCTGTCGGAAGACGGTCAAAAATGGAGGATGCACGGATCAACAAAGATAATTTGGAAGACTGTCAGAAAATATCTCTGGATCCGCCCTTGAATCCTGTACATTTACGCGACTTATAATTGTTCTTCATTCATGGAAGCATCCAAGCACCAAATATTAACTACTCATACTGTTTACATTTTTCATAATACAAATATATCCAAAGCAAACACGTTCTAAACTATGCTAATCCTTCGCCTCCGTTTGCATTTTCTTGGTTCAATTGCGTTGCCGCAAGCGACCCGTGAGCCACAGTAGTTAAATTTTATATTATTCCCACCTTTTCGAGTTGCAAATTAAACTCATATTTATCATACTATTTGATGCAAATTTTAACACGATTTTTACCCTGAGAGTTGATAATTTTATTGCAGATTACGTAAAAGTTCATTTTTACTTGTATGAATATGATAACAACAATAATATCTGGTACTGCGCCTAACCAACTCTACCTGTGTATTCTAGGAGCATCATACACAACAGAAAGACAATCTGTAAGAAGTTCAGTATTTAATGACAGGGAATCGAAGGAGATATTAAATCTACACAATCAGTACAGAGGATCTGTCTCACCTAACGCAGCTCACATGCAGTATATGGTGAGAATTATTTATAAATTAATCTTTACAAAATATGTGTGTGTGTGTGTGTGTGTGTGTGTGTGTGTGTGTGTGTTTGTTTGCGTGCGTGTGTTGTTTGAGAGAGAAAGAGAGGCAGAGAGAAATAGAGAGAGATTAATTGCTGCTGGCTGGATCTTTTTAAATAAATCTTTCATAGTTCAGCTTTATGATTTCGTTAATAAATTTAGCTTCGAGAGAGAGAGAGAGAAATGAGAAAGACCATTGTGAAAAATAAATACATCAAATTTTTCTAATTGTTTCCAGACATGGAGTCAGCAGCTAGCTGATGCCGCCCAAACTTGGGCCGATGGCTGCTCGGGGACACGAGGTCTCCTGAGTAGTCTCACGAGTGTGACGGGACCCCGTCCTGGTCAAACGATATGGACAGGACACGGCCCTCTCTCTGTGGCGGGCATGATCTCAGACTGGTTCCTAGAGGGACAGTATTTTACCTACTCTAATCATTCTTGTAGCGGTCACTGTGATAACTATGTACAGGTAAGCTGTCGGTGGGTGTTGTATAGAAGTAATGGTTTCAGTAGACCCTCTTTATGAATAAACCTTAGAAAGAAAAACTTTGCTTTCCTTACTGAAAAACTTTTCTTTCAATGCGCTCAATGTCTAAACTAATTAAGGTCACGTTTTACTTCTCCCACACGCAAAGTATAATTCTGGCAATTATAACAAAATCGGATATTTTTTATTTAAAAGTTAATAGATTTGTTTATAGGTAAAAAGTGGTCGAAATCTGAAAAAAATTCAAGATCTCAAAATATTATTAAAGAAAATCTCCACAACTAATACATGCAAAAAAAAACACTCTTGACACTAAAAGGCTTTATTTTCATATACTTCCAGTTGGTTTGGGACGAAGCAAGCTCAGTGGGCTGTGGCTGGCAGAACTGTTCTGGTCAAGGTCAAGGTCGATTTTTCGTCTGCTACTACTCTTCTGGGTACGCTCAATTTGACGTCACTGCCAATTTATCCATTTCAGATTTTGCGCCTTAGACTTTACTTTCACTTTGTCTTTGATAAAAAAAATCTTCAACGTTTAATTCTTATCAACGACGTTTCCTTTGATTCACTCTTACATGTATCTATCACATAAATACCACATTGTGTATAATCGTTTCGACTCTTCTAAGTTTTGTACAGTCTTCCACTGAGCATGAAACTCAGTCAGTTGTAAATGTCGAGTTTTCGGGTAACCTGATAATGTTTTGTAAATCATTCGAATCTATTGTATTTACGACTGCTGTTTATTTATCTTTTATTTTTTATTCCAGTGCTAATCTCTCCGCCGCTCCCTACGTCGCCGGCCCAAGCTGTTCTCTGTGCTCGCCAAATCACTGTTCAGAGAATCTCTGTGTGACGTCACCGGAAGCGCAAGGACTGACGTCCTCAAATTCCTCGACGACGCAGTCGCCATCTGGCGGGGGAGACAACAACCCCTTGCCCATTAGCGGTGCGGCACTTTTTGGAATCATCCTAGCTTGTTTAATCGTCTTCCTAGCCGTCCCGGGCATCGTGCTGTATTGTTTCTGTCTTTGCAAAAATAAAAATAAAGTCGATCCCGATGAAGAGGAGGGGGAGGAAGAGGAAGAGGGAGACGACGGGAAAGGAGATGACAATTTTAAAAGCGTGGTTTCTGACAGTATGAACGATAGTGAAGTCTCGCTCACTCAGACCGTAAGTAGCAGTGCATCGAGACCTATGAGCAGTACTCGAGCGCTGTATAAAAAACAAATCAGTGTGAACGAATCTCTGGAAAACGGTCGCATGTCAAGAATGTCCCACAATGGCGACGTCTTATCAAACGGGGAACCATATTCAGTTAAAGCTGGCCTGAAAGAAACGACGAAGTGCATTACTTTAATCCATCGTAACGACAAGATCAAATTAGGCAGTTTCGACATGTTTGGTTTGACAGAAGGTAGTGATAAGCTACGGACGTTGGCCGTGGATTCGAATTTTCTGGAAAGCGAGCCCAACGGGCACTTGCCGCCGTTAAGAAACGCTAGGCATCTACCAGGAGGTCAGCTACCTCCTATAAGGGGAAACGTGCGGCGAGCAGCGGTGCAGAATAATAATGTGGAAAAACACGAGGAGATGAAGGAAGAAAAGGACGAAGAATCCATAACGGAATAATATATATGGAAATATAAACTGTTTTTTTTTATTTCCAGTTTATTCCGATACAGTTTTTCCATAATTGTGATATTTGAAAAAAATTAATTGCTCAAATAGCGGGGCACGAAGACCAATTGTACGATAACTTATTGTCCTCGGATCTAAAACAACGAAAGTCAAAGAAGACGATGCTCTTTGGTTGAAAAGTTTGCAACATAAGGCTTGGTTTTTTTCCTGCATGGTGGTTGCATAAAAGAAGCTAAGATGATGAAACGGTAGAATATACAATATGCATGCAAATGTCAAAATTGCCAATTATATAGCTAAAAATGTGTCTCTCAACTAAAATTTAAAGCCAATGAAAATACTCTGTAGAACGAGGCAAAGAGGATAGAACGCAATATCTTTTCATTTTAAGACCCCATTCCCAGAGATTAGATCGATCCAACTAGATCGACCTAACTCCCTGGGGGTTGTAGTAGGCGGGACGGACATTTAAGCCGGATTATCTGACAGTAATCTAGTGAGACTTCCCACGGGGATAGATCGATCTAAAATCTATGGGAATGCGCCCTAACTTCCCGGTTCTTTTACTTAGATCATCTGTGATAATACGTCATGTGATAATGAGTGTGCATAAAAGAGGCAGATTGTAGTTTAAGATGATATCGATAAGAAAAAAACAAAACATATGATAAACTGAATATATTGTAGCGACTTAATTATGGGAATGCGCCCTAACATACACCATAATGATGAGATGTCATACAGGCAGTCGGTTACAAGTTTAGTAAATTGGTGCACAGACAATGACTTGATATTAAATGTGAGCAAAACAAAAGAAATGATCATAGACTTCAGAAGAAATCAGATAAGTAAAAATCCCTTGGAAGTTAACGGTAAAGCGGTCGAACAGGTTTCTAATTATAAATTACTAGGGGTTCAGCTGAATAATAGGTTAACCTGGGGCGATAACATCACGAAGCTATTGAAAAAGGCACGTCAACGAATGTATTTCTTAAGGAAATTGAAAGCTTTTACCAGAAATGTGTTTATTTTAACGAACTTTTACAGGTGTGTTTTAGAGAGTATTTTAACTTATTCAGTAACTGTTTGGTATGGACGTGCAACTGTGGAGGAGAGGAACAAGTTGGAAAAGATCGTCGAAACTGCAGGGATTGTAATTGGAACAGATCTAACTCCCGTCCATACTATATATCTAGACAGGACTAAAAAGAAAACATTATCAATAATGACAGACAGTTCCCATCCAGCCCATACCCTTTTTAAATTTTTACCTAGCAATTCGAGACTCTTAGCTTTTAAGGGTAGTAAGCGATTTTTAAATAGCTTTTATCCTTCGGCAGTAACTATTTTTAACTCTAACATGTAATTTTAATTTTCATTTTTTTTATTTCAATGGCGCTACTACAGGGCAAAAGATTCCCGATTTTATACATTTGTATTTTATTGGCTTAATAAATTATTATTATTATTATTATTATTACCCGTGGGACGGATTTTAACAGAAGTAAAAGGCACTGGTAATCGAAACCATTATTTTGAAACTCACATAATCCAAAGATGCCCTTTTATCCATTCGATGTTACATAGTCATGTCTAGTTAGGGATGCGTTTTAGGCACATATTCATTCAACTGGTTCAGTGCTTTTTGTCACTTTTCATTTGTTTGTTGGTGGTATTTGTTTATGTCACTAGATTTATAAGACTATATGCTATCTGACAATCAAGACAGACATTTCATATATATCTACATCACGACAAAAGTCCATTAGAAAAGTATTGTGTGTATTATATACGGTTTGTAATACCTAGCACACACATTTGACCACACTGAGTTTTCAACCTGAAATCTTGTTCTCGCGAGATTGGTTGTTGAAATTTAATTCTCGCAAGAACGAGAACTGGAAGAAAAGACACCATGGCGCTGAGTTTTCCCGCATATTTGTGGATGTTAGCACGGTAGTCTATAATTTACATCCCAGGTTATATGTTCACGTTCACGTTAAATAAATGATACATGCAACTGTTATTTGTGTATGTCAAGTATTCATTTAATAATGGGTGGTTCGTTTCTATACGGAATTTGCCGAATTAAAGTTTCCTAAGGAAAAAAAAAACATTAATTTACAGGTAAAAGTCTTCCTTAACTTTAATTATGATAGAAAAGTCTGAATTGACTGGGGAAAGATAGATAGCTTTACAGGATATATAGACATTGGGGTTTAACTCAAATAATATTTGATAACTTTAATGTCGTACATAACGGGCTGCAAAGAGGCAGGTTGTATTGTGTTAGCTGTTCTTAGTTGAGGTGAAAGCATTGCGTACCATTTAGCGTCATTGTGCTGCTACACAGTACATATACCGCAACTGTGCAGTCTATTACGTACTTTAGATACGCTGCTTATATTTTAGGACCGAAAGATGCGATTTGTCAATTAATTTTATTGGGGTTGGGGGCCTTCTGAGATCTTTGAAATATGATTTTTAGGTATCTGTTAGCCTTTTCCTTTCTCCTATCCCATCAAAAATCTCTTTTCCCTTTTCTCTTCAGCCAGAGTCTAGAGTACTACAGGAGGATATAGGTGACTTGCTGATGTGTACGGGATTTCTACAGCTTCCCCTAACAGTGGCGGATTTAAGGGAAGGTGTCAGGGAGGTCCTGACCCCATTTCGATTTCTGTAAAAAATTCCACCAATGGTCCCCTCTTAAAATTAGAATTTAGATGATCTGAATCATAGTTCTAAACCGTACCAATTGTACTGTTCGCCCTCTAAAATATCAAAAATATTCAGGCTCCTTCGCGCGGCCCCGCCCACGCCGAGGGGGGGGGGGGGGGGGGGTGAGAGTCGGCTTCACAGCCCCCCCCTTTAGATAATCGTGGATCCGCCCCTGCCTGAGCAGTTTTCTTAACCTTTATCAGTCACTGACTTCGATATATCCTGAAAAACCAATACCTGTGCATACACAGAATGTACGTTTTTGACTGTTTATTTTATTAAAAATCAAACGTTAAATCAAGTAGTTAAATTGTTTGAAGCAATTTTAGTAAACGGATGTGTTTTTAACAAGGTGGCTGTGAAAAGGATCACATAATCACAAGTTCCCTTCGTTTTGAAAAAGGCATTTGCCCAACAAATCAACAAATGGTTTTACCTCAAATAAGAGCGTCAAATAAATTTTGTCAGGAAGAAATTGACCAAATTTTATTTAATTATCAGGTAAGACTTTTGCTTTCTCAATTGTTTAAATCCGTTAAAACTAAAAAACAAATGTCATTAAGATTACGCGCCAGTTGTTTGTTTTAATAGTGAACCGTCACCCGAAGAAAATAATCTTTAATTGTTGAAACTTATAAATAATGCAACGGGTTCAAATATACAAAAAGACTGATCTAAAAACACACATTGTTTGTTATAGATTTATTTTATTTGTCGGATTTCATCCAGACACACCATCGATAGCGCAAATAGAGAGCCGTGACTTCATCAACGGTCCAATGTCAGTGTCCTTAAACCCCACGGCGAATATCAATATCGGGGAAAAAACAAAAATGAAAGAAAATAAAACATATTTTTGGTAGACCACCAAGAATTGATTACTAATATCAATAGCGGATATGGTGGGGGGGGGGGGGGCAAAGTGCCTATCTTAATAAGCTTAGAAGGCATCCCATTTTTCCCAAACGATGGAAAAAAGAATTAGTATAAGAATAAAAACGAGATGAAATCCAACATTGTTCCATCCCCGTGCCTTACAAATCTTAAAGAATTGTTCCCGTAAAGCAATTTATATTTGCCGAACAAGGGAAGGAATAGTAATTCTCTTGTATCACCCCCATTGAAATTATGGATCTCTCAGCGCATGCATTACATACATTCAAAATATTAAAGTTGTTTTATCAATGACTTAATGAACGCTCGCGGAATAATTGAGAAATAGCAGCTGATAAACCCTAATTTTATTTCTTTTTCAATATGAGAAATAATTATGAGACACAATTTAGAAAATATAGAATTATATTTGTACTCATGGAAATCTCCGATTATGCTTTTTTCAAAGACGCAGTAAGTATAAAAATATAAAAGTATAAAAAAACAGCAGTTGTTATCGGAAATTTTACGTCTAAGCAAAATCTATTTGACAAACTCAAAAGCCATAAACTGAAACAACAAACTCAATAAAACAACTGAGTTCGGTGTTCATTTTACTTCATTAAAAAATCTAATCATGGAGGGAAATTGAATTCTTCAACAGCGTCAACTCAATTTTCAAAAAAAAAAAAAAAAGTTTAAAGTTTTGGGGCAAAAGGTGTAAGACCAATTCAAAATAATAACAATAATAGTAAACAAAAATGACAATGCTGCGTGAATACGGTATATTTTGACGTAACTCTGATCGCGTTCATATCTAGTTTAAGGCCACATCAAGTGTATCTTAATTCGCTCCTATTTTGAACGCAGAGCACTTTATTACGACGTCAACTAAGAAGGTTATATCCCAAAACCTTTTCATTTCACCAGACACTTTGTTTAATTAAAGCAACACAATAAACGACTTAACCGCGGGCTGAATCGAACCCCTTCCCAAACAGCTCTTTAGAACCGTGAATAATAAGCATTGTAATTCTTCAGTCCCGCGACCTCATATGGCCGCCTTAGACATTGTGATGTGACACGACAAAAAACAAGCTAAAGTGAATGTTTCTTTGCATTGCTGTTTGCGTATGGATAACCCCCGGCAAATGATGGTGTCGGGGGCGGGAGGGGGGGGGGAGTCACCCCCGGGGCGTCGGGGCACCTGGGCTGGGGGAAGTTAATGGAAGAGCTTACGTGGGGTTGGGGGAGTTGTTGGAAATAAGTGGCCAGAGTAGGGTTTATTTGGGGTGGGGGTGGGGGTGGGGGTGGGGGGGGGGGCAAGGATAAAACTTTGTAAACATATAAAATATCAATATATTATTTATTAATTTTGTATATAAAAACACAAGAAGAATAAAAAAAACTTCACTATACATGTGCTATGTAGGGAACAGGGGTGAAGAATTGTTTGGCTCTGTGTCGTTTTGCTCTTATTACTCTTCTTTTTTATGGGGTGGGTGTGGGGTTGGGAGGGGTTGGGGAGGCGGGGGTGTCTTTTAAGCTAAGGGGTAGGGGCTGTATAATCTTGTTTTCAGCACACGCGCTGCTTAAATGTTTTGGTACGATGTGCAGGGTGAATAAAGTACAGTTGCATGACATAATGGACTTCACTCTGTTAGCTCTGGTTTTTAATGTGTTTGTTAGGTAAACAGCGGATGTTTTAAACAAACAGCATTGCAACTGTAGTGTGTCCGCCCTGAAGATGATGTAGAATACCAGTATATTCTACCATTACACGTAAATATGATATAAACTTCATCTTTACCATAATAATGTTATATATATTTTTGTTTTTTTTCTGAAAACAATACCTTGTTCACCCTAAGTCCCCCAAAACACGATCGCGGATCGTGGTTTTTGTGTGCGCAACACTGAATCCATCTTCTCCATCACGTGTTCAAAAGAAAGCCAATGACGTCACTGTCTTCGATACTCACTATTTCTTGAAAAACATTCGGGAATCGATAAGGTCAACAGCAGGCGATCCATATCGAAAACACAATACACGATGGTGTTAAAGGGCCAGTGTTAACACGAACGCCTTGCCATAGTGCTGGCGTTTCCTTCCGCGTTTAAAAAGCTGTTTACAAACGGAACATTTTGCATGCTTATGCTCGAGGACGACAGAACACTGAAGGCTGTAAAGAGGAGAAGTAACATTTCTTTCCTGGATATTGTAAATTACATTTAACGCAAGTGAGGAGGGTATACATCTATTTAACTGTGTTTGGGATATAAACGGAAGACTATTTCTACGAAGTTTAAGAAGACTTACTTTGCCCGGTGCCATTATTTCTTCCGCCTTGTATTTTTATTGCAAGTGATGATAACACGTATGTAGAGTATTCATATTGGAGAGAGGAATTCATTCTTGTCCCATTCTAGAGCAGTTTTATATTATTACGTCTTCAACGGAACACGCTCACCTGGACTACGTTAATGGAACGTTCCTCTCTTTAATGCTATAAAGGATTACGTACGTTTTTTTTCAAGTTTCACTTTTTATCTTATTGCATATGGACAGACGATTTTCTTCACCGAAGGATTATAATAAAAAGACGGAAAGATGATTCTTAAGGTAAGTGATAAGATGATAATTAATGAGTAATTAATTATGATACTCTTTGGATGGAAATAAGGAGAAGATTAAACTTAGCTTGAAAACAATGCAAATAGATAGTTGGCGATTTTTGACACATCGTCATTAGGAACGACATATGATGTATTGTTGAAAACCAAGGTGCGTGGTACAGAAACTTTCACATATTCTTTATTTGCAATTAATAAGGCAAGAATTTGATTCATGGACCAAACAGTCGGATTCCAATTTATTTTATCATGATACGCTTAGTTTGATTAAAGACTTTTTAGTTCAGTGAGTTATAACGACTTAACACTACGTCTTTACTAACAGCATATTCAAACCAAATAATTCTAATTTTCCATCCCTGTGTAAGTTGTAAATACACTTAATCAGTTGTAGGCATATAGGCATTGGACATAAGCCACACATACAATGTACCCCGTGTGTACATACATGTAGAATGACAAATAATCATTACTATAAATCCATATATCGTCTCTTATGACATTAGCCAAATAATTTGCCTAATTGGATAATTAGCTAATAGGATGACGTTTCCTAGGTATTAGTGATTACGATGTTCCTTATATCGTTTACGTTAGGCAGTAATTTTAATTACTTGTTCAGCGTTGTCTATTAATGGCATCATTGAATTCGGGGTCTTAAAATTAATGTCATTTGGTAAGGGATATAACAATTTATTGTCATTTATATGTCATGTGTCCATGTTGGGATGAATTTTTGTCTAATTTTTTTTTTTTGAGAAAACGTGGTGTTTAAATGTTGTCCGATAATTTGGGAATCTGAAATATTTTTTCCAATATTTACAATATAATCGAAGGTATGGCCGGGTAAATTTATAAAATTTATATCAAATTATAGGGTCTCCATATTGATTTAAATATTGAAATTAAACTGATAAAAACTCCGCCAAGAGACGATTGGCGACGTGAGTGTTTATCACGAGCAAGAAGGACCATAATTGAATTCACCGTCGCCAAACATTGACATCTGAACGTGTTCAACTACTGTAGATTTGGGGCGTCAACACAGTCATTCATCACACAAAAATTATCACTACTGATCTTCGATTTACGATGATCAGCAATCATAATTTACACGCTTTGTCGCCAAGCTCAGTTGAACTCAAATAAACAGTAAGGCCACGCACAAGATTACGCCAGTGGTCAACTCCAGGCCTAACCAACTACCAGACTCGACACCCACCTTGAAAACGGGTAGTTTGGTCTGATAAACCGGTTTATTCTGGATCCGTAGGTGCCGAGTCTGGTAGTTGGGTAGGCCTGAACTCTGTCTCTCATGAATGAAGTAAAATGGAGGACAGGGGATGGGGGTAGGGAGGTTAGCATCGGAGATATGTTCCTGTCTTTGATTTGAGATAACCCTTCCCCCGCCCCTAAAAATCTGTATAGCAAGTGGAACGAGACAATACAACTTTCGATCCATGCCCTAGCTTGTTTTTGTCCTTCTGTACAATATTTGCCGAGTGAAGCGAGGCCAAGTTTTATTGTGTGCCCCCTCCTCCCCTTAGTCAAAATGATTCCACTGTCTGGCACGGCACTTTAGTTGACATCGGTCAAGTTGGGACGGAAAAAAGAAATAGGGGCACGAGGGCTTGGTTTGAACACAGTCCGCGATAGCAAGAATGGAGTAGTTTTTTTATTTGAGACTTAAACTTTATTAGTAAAATCAAAGGCGAGAAAGAAGATTTGACGAAGATTTAAATTAATGGGCATGGTGCAATTTATTGTTTGCTATGTGTGCAAAACTAATAATAATAATAATAATAATAATAATAATAATAATAAAATGATATTTGTGCAAGGCAAAATTGTCTTTATAGATTAGCAATCGCCATCATTTCGCCAACTTTTCGATTCTTACAATAAACGGGGTTATGTTAAAAATACGGCAGCTTTTTATAGGGTCGCCTTGCTTCGGTATTCCATCTCAAACAAGAAAGTGATTTTTAAACCAAGACAGTATCATTTAACCTCTTATATAAGGGTGAAAAGAAAAAAGGAATGCAGTCTCCTTGGGGTGTAGACAGTCAGTATTTGTTATCAGTATCATTATTTGTTTTAATCCATTTTCCAGTTTTAATCTATTTTTTACTTTCCTTTCCTAGCTTTATTCATTATTAATTCAAGTCACATTGTAAACTCTACTCAACAAATCTGGGATTTTAAACTGAAAGAAACATTATTATTATTATTATTATTATTATTATTATTATTATATTACTATTATAGAATCAACCGCCAGTAACGTTTTTTTTCTCAAATACATTTATATCAATTAGATCCTAAGTATAAGAACATGCGCCCATGAGCCTTAAAGTCAATATTAAAACACGTGAACGTATACTCAGCTAATACAAAAAAGTGTATTCATCTATTTCTTGCCATGTGTCAAAAAACTGGTACACGTGGACTTACATTGGATCGCTAATAAGGACCAATACCACATGGCTCGTAACATAATAGATCCTAAATATTTTCATTAATCGTTTACCTGTAGTTGTGCGTCAATTATTATGTGTTGTTATTGGTATAGTCGTCGGGGCGCACGCTATAAAAGCAACCCAACTCCTAAAAATCAATGGGCCACCCTTACTTAATTAACGACAAGTATAATTTTTGGTTAACACAAAGAATGTGCGTTTGCAGTTAGCCGTTTCAAATAATGGGAGATCATGTTAAAGTTTTTTTTCAAATTATTTTTCCTCAATATTCTGAATTGATTTTTAACTTTGGACATGCTATTACAGAGAGGACTGTGTCACGTTGACATCGTGCCTGGAAACGTTCGTTGTTTGTCATTGGAGACAGTTAAATATATACAGTTCAGAAAGGAGAGAAATCTAAAATTAACATAATATTTTTTTAAGTTTTAAGTTGCCTGCAAAATGTATTTGAAAAAAAGTTTTTTAGTCATTATACCTACTGAATCCTGGCCGATCCGAGGAAAAATGGGAGAGTATACCTGTAGAAAAAACATCGTTACGGCTGGAAAAGAACATGCTTTGTTATAGCCCACCAAGATTCTCTTACTTAAAAGTATATCTACGTGCATTTTTCATCGTCATTTACAAGTATTATTTCTCAGTGTGTAAATGGCATGAGGAAGAAGTCTTTGACCCATTGTGTTGTAAACTTCCTGTATTGACTTTGTGTATAAAATAACAATAAAAATTTAATTATTCTTTAAAGGTCATTTATGACACCAAGTTACGTTATAATCACGACCATACCAAAGTTAATATATTACATCCATATGCTACAGATGCTCTAAGCACCATCTGTAGATGAGGTGTATTTAATGCTAAAACCTTATCATTCTTGTGATGTTGTACTTAGATAGGGTGGTTAAAAATTCATACGGACGCACCAGAGCGAATCATCTGCAGTATACTCATCCCAGCATTTAGCTAATTATCGACACGTGGACGTATCGATCGATGGGAATACAAGCGATCTGAGTGGCAAAATATCGATTATCGATTAAGTGCGCTCGCTTTTATTGTCTCTCCCTGTTATAGATACGTAATTAATCCTAAAGTTATCCTGACATAGTGACATCGGATAAATTTTAACATGATATTCTACTTGAAAATTAAAATCTGACGCACTATAGGCAATTAGATATGGAGCCATTATTCATTTTTGTATGCCTAAGGTAAAGTTATCTTATTATTTAAGTTATTCAGAAAGAACATCTTTATTCGCAAAAACACTTTTTGTGCCACCAGTATTGCTGTTTTACCAAACGCATACATGTCTCGATGCCTTCCAAAAAACCCCCAAGACGTTGATTTTTATAAGCCAAAGTTAATATCAACGCTTAATAAATCAAGTAATAAAACCGTGTATTCATACTATTAATACAAATACTAGTACCTGGTTTCATATTGCTCGTACTTCAGACTTTAAATGCATGATCGTTTTAATGCAGGCGTTCAGTGTATGGCGCTACTTAACTGCTTCCGGAATTTATAACGCGAGCGGGATGACAATTCAACTTTGTCGCCCCAAGGGAGGGCGAGTAAACAAGTAAATAAGGTACTTAATGGGCCATGTGATATAAATACACTGAAATATTTACCTCTGTCCCCATAACCCTTGCCGATATGAATACGAGATATTGAAAGAATGACCCTAATGAACCTTGCCAAATTCTCAAATTTCTTAGCCTTACGGTTCACTGATTACAATGCTTTCAAGATCAGGAATATGCATGTATCGTCCATAGGACTAACTAAGTGGCATTGCTCTGTGGACTGGCCTTGAAAGACCACACCTGGTGTTTTATGACAATGAAAAAAGAGACCCATTTTTCTTCAAGTATTGTGATATCAATCTCTAAATAGTCCTGGTTAGAAATCACTCTTTCGACTTAATGTTTGGGTCGAAAGCATGGGTTAGATTATGAGGCGAATGTGACTTGTACAAAAGTAATGGGGAAAAGACTTTGGTTCCTTGGGGACTACCATTCCTGTCACAGCCTCTCTCTCTCTCTCTCTCTCTCTCTTTCTCTCTCTCTCTCTCTACAACCGTTGAGCGATCTCTTTTCATACGCAGATCTGTTTCTTCGTGACATTATTAAAAAAAACCCGGATAGCGTGTGAATTCTGCCATTTTCGAAAATGGAAGCCATTGGGTTGCCTGAGTGATTTTGTTTCACTCACTGGGCAACGAACCAGTAAAACGTAGAATCATTCTTCAACATAAATATCAAAATTATAAACACTTAGAATTTAGAGAGAGTGGTAAAAGTAATGCATGTGATACCGTACATTGAAGTGAAGTCTATACTCAGTCTTAAAGCAGCTTTGTTAAAACTGTCTGAATCTTAACAAAACAAAACTATTGAAAAAAACGTGTAATGGGGCACAGCTACAGTTAAAACGCCGTTTTTTCAACAAACAAGACACTATATATGCACGGGGTTTCGTAATATTATGCTTGTGTTGTTATGATTTTGTAATATGCCTGAAATTTGTGTTTTGTCGCTTGAAAATTGAACTGCCGCGTATTGCCCCTGTTGAAATACATCTATCATTTATTATTTTTTCAGGTCCTGCGTTTCGTTCCAATTCAGGTGCTAGTAGTGGTTACATTTATCAATACATATGGTGAGTTTGATATCAAATAAGAATATTTCATATATTTCATGTCACGTCTGCAAATTAAAGGAACATTCCCAGACCCTATCGTACTAACTGTGGATCGATCTATCTCACAGGAGAGTCTCGCTAAATTGCCGTCAACCTAAGCGGCCTTGATGTCTGTCACACCTACTGAAGCCGCTAGATGGTAATTAACTCTCGTTTGGCAGCTTCAGTAGGCGTGCCAGACATCTAAGCCACTTAAGATGAAAAAGCAATTCAACGAGAAACCCCCTGGAGATCGATTGATTCTGTTAGGTAGATCTAGGCATGGGGACCCAGTCTAAGGGATGGGGAACGGACTACTTTTCCTAACGGACTGCCATTCCTGTCACACAAATTGATAGATCGAAGTCTGGGCGAGGAATTGATAACGGCGGCAACAATAATGAAGTATATGTATAAAAAATGAAACTAAATTCACGAAGGCTTATATTTCGTGTTCTAAAATACTGCCTGTTTTGTATGTGATCTATCTGTGGCCATTAGCATCTGACCAAAGAATTATCATTATACAAATTATTTCCCGTGTATGTAATACCCCGTATAATGGCTGTAATATCGTAAACCCTGAACTCTGGTTTGTTTCAGCGTATGGTGCATGTCCAACGATGAACGTCGACCCAGACTTAGACTGGTGTATATCTGACTACGAAACCGACTATTTCGCGGCTAGAACTGCTTGTAACGCGTTATGTGGCTTTCTCCCGGAGTCCTCCAATCCAGGCGATTTATCTGACTTTGCCTACGATCTTTTGATCGGGAACAGTCTGTAAGTTAATTTGTGGTGCAATGCAGTAGATTTCTAAAGACACACGATAAGCGCTTGGAGTTAATCAAGCGACATTTTAATTCTTCAAAAAATTTCACTTTTTCGTCAAATCTGGTATACAACTGTACCGTAAATGCCATTTTTAAAACAGTTAACATAGTTTCGTCTCACATCCCTCTTTTTTGCTTGTTTTTACGGGATTCGCAGCAGCCCGGATTTTGCACTGACAAATTAATGACATAATAGTCACGTGCTGATCACGTGGTGCCCCCTTTATTTAAAACTAGGTCAACAGGACAGAGAGCCTGGATAGGAATATCTAGTAGTGGCGGGGGCGGCTGGGTGTACGACTCGGGTACCAGCGTGACCGACAACGGGAAATGGGACGTCGGCTATACCGGTAGTACCACAGCGCCATCTGGCGAGTGTTATGCAGCAAAATCGGATGAAAATATGGCGTGGAGCCAACACAATTGTACTGAAGATGGATATTATATTTGTTTTCAGTGTAAGTAGGCCCTAAAGTTTAATATTGCTTTGTTTCAAAAATATTTCAAAAATATTTAACACAGTAATATGAATCTGATTTGTACACACTCTATTGTCCTTAAACTGAACTTTCATAAATCCGTTATTAAGTGAATGTAATATGAAAGAATGAGCGCCTTTTCCCACCAGATGTATTATGACATTATAATTCAATCCAAATATTCTTTTTATAGACAAGTCACCTAGTTTCTGCTCCGCACCACAAACCATTCCAAACGCAACATGGACAGCAACAGCCGGTGTTAACTGCAGCAATTTATGCTGTAATGAGTACGCCAATGTGACGTATACATGTGACAATGGCTATATACTGACCGGGTTAAACAGCTCCACTATCCAGTGTGTGGGCGGCTCGTACAGTGAAGACGTTTCTACTGGGTACTGCGAGGGTAAGTGATATTGACGTCACATATGACGTCACGTTGGTTGGCGCCATGGCTGTACGACAACGTGTCGCTTTGTAGAGCCAAGTCCTATATTCTACATCAATGTAATACCGAGTATACTTATTATGAACCCTTAACGTATGAACTTCTTTGTGTTAGGAAATCTACAGATGGCCTGCGTTTCTTCTATTCTAACGTAGAACATGGTTTGTGCTGCATACTCCAGGGTTGGGGAATGTTTTTAAACAATAACAGCTTATTAAAACAAGCAACTTTAACTTTAAACCATATATTTTTGTATTTTACACATTATATCTAGAACCCCCAACCCAAGCTCCGCCTGTAAACTGCAGTGCTCTTCAAGCAGCTTACCTAGAGGGCACCATAGACTACGGCAATTATACCGAGTTCTGTAACGACACACTTCCCGACAGCACTACCGTACGTGAAACCACCACGGAAACGATGACAACAGTGGCGGAAACGACCGAAATAAGTACGGCGACGACCGAATTAAGCACGGCGACAACCGATTTTAGCACAACAAATGAGGTTACCACGATGGAAACCCCTACCACCACAGTCGCAACAGCTGAAACGACTAGTGAGACTACAAACGAATCCTTGACGACGACAGCCAATATGGCCACTACCGGTAAGTTGGGCATATAAAGCTTATCTCCAGGGAGGGTAAGGTACAGCACATAGTTCTTTTCCTGTTCCTGATAAAGATGTGTGCCCTGTGTTTTTTTTTTACAGAAAACGTTGTTTCGTTAAATAATTGAGGAAAGTGCATGTGATGTAATACTTCTTTTATGACAGAGGGGGTGTTAATTTTGGGGATGCTTTTGTTGCAAATATTGGCTTCTTGTATCTTATGCCGACAACAAAGGATTCTCTATTCCGATGATTTCAACTTTGCTTATTTTATTCATCAGTTTCAAGTATTCTGACGTCACTCAATGCGTCAGCGCTGACGTCACCGGAAGCTGTGAGCGGTGCAGTAGCGGCTGTGACAAATGCGGTAGGTAGGCTTTGATTATAAAAATAAGAAATTACATATAAATTACATATAAAGTGATTCGAAATAATTTTTTTATGAATGAGTGATACATCCTCATGTCCCCTCAAAATGCGGAGAATATGTTTTTCGAATATACTGGTATGTTAGGAAATGCCAAAAACGTTTCCTTTACTGCTGCTTGATTTTTAAGATATTGTAATGTTTTTCTTATAGACCTCTTCCACGGCTTCAGAACTTCAACAGGTAAGTTATAAAGTTTTATATTTATCACAAATAATAAAATAAAACTTCTTAAAGTACCTACCAAAGCATGGCGAAGCCTTCCTCCCCCACGTCTTAAAATGTGACAAGTAAAATGATTTCCTTTGGATTTCATCGGTCACTGCGGTCTCATCGACTTTGATCAGATCTAAAAAAAATGAATCGCCACCAATATATAACATTTCACACGTTGTATTATATCATTGCTGCGTAACCATACTATATCACTTAGACCCCATTCCCAGAGATTAGATCGATCCAAACTAGATCGACCTAACTCCCTGGGGGTTCACGCTAAATAGCTGTCAGCCAAGTGGGCACGAAAGTTAATTACCCCCTTACAGCTTGTAGTTGGCGGGACAGACATTTAAGCGGGATTATCTGACAGTAATCTAGTGAGACTCCCCACGGGGATAGATCGATCTAAAGTCTATGGGAATACGCCCTTATACCATTTTGCAGGCAAGGGATGTCGTCGTCACAGCCATCTCCTCCACAATCAGTTCAGTGAATGACGCGGCGGGTTTGAACAACTTGGCCTCCTCCTTGTCAAGCATCACTAGTGCCTCTGCTGACACCATCACTGAGGATACGATGGTAAGACTTTGTACAGTCGTTTAGAATCTCTCTGATAGGAGTCCTAAAGGAGTCTATGTTAATTCTACTCGTACTTTTAAAATAAATGGAAAATGTGGATAAAGTGGACATGTTTATGCACACACACACACACACACACACACACACACACACACACACACGATGAGAGAGAGAAAGAGAGAGAGAGAGAGAGAGAGAGAGAGTAGGGAGGTTGATGTTTACATTGAAAGCATTGCAGTTTTATAGAGTCTTTAAAATCAATTTCATATCGTTGCAGGATAAATCCGTCCTTGCTGCAGAGGCGATCACTTTGAAACTGTCCAGCGCCAACATCAGCACTGCTGAGTTAACTACAATAAGTATAGGTAAGTAACTGAGGCAATTCAATTCATACAATTTTATAATAGTAATAACATACATAAATACAACAAAAACCGTATCCACAAAAACATGGCGTATTAATTATAGTCTTTTTGATAAGATGATCCTGTGCACGTACAAAACTCCTAAATAAATCTGTATATCTATGTTATGGAGCAGTTGCATATATACAGTACCTAATACTACACCCACTTTCACTTTCTTTATAATGGTTTCCATGATATTAAATGTTTCAGAGGTAGTCAATTCGATCAGCAACGTTATGGACAACACCTTAACGGACTCAGGCAACGAAACCGCCAATGAAACTGCGGGGAAAACAGTATGTCAAATTTGCTTTTAAATATTGTAGTTAATAGACGCTATAAAGCTTAATGACACTAGGTTTAATTTTGTGATGTCCTTTTTCTAGATGGACTACCTTATACAGGTATATATACCATCCACTCACATTTTAGCCAGTGGTGCATTCTGTCCAAAACAGATTTAAATGGACGTCAAAGGCGCTTTAATTTTTGTCGGAATCACTCATTATTGTTCTTTTATCTCTCCTTTCTCCGTCCCTTCCTTCCTTTCATCGTCCCCCCTTCCCTCCTTCCTTCTGTCTTTCTTTCGTTCTTACTTTCTTTTACAAGCACGTTGTCACAATATATACTCCCTCCTACTAGGCAAGAGCAGAGAAAGCCGTCCAGGTTCTCAACACAGTAGTGGACACAATCATAGACACCCTAAACGAGACTTCACCACCGGTCATTATATCAAACGCCCTGGTGGACATTATCGCCCAGAGGGTGGGCGGCAGTCAAGCAGGTGTCCAGAATTTCACGACCACCGCTGTCCAGGTTTCCGTGCCGGGGAACTTGGAGACGAACAGCTCTGTTGACGTTAAGGTAAATTGTTTGATATCATATCTATATAAGAGGGGGGATGAAAATTATGATTGTTGTGGTAGTTTAGGATGTGTGCGAAGAAGTATTTATACGCATATTTTACGTTTTGATGCAAAGTACTGAGTAGGAAAACCGAAACGTAATGCCAGAGATTAAAATGTCGGTTTTAGCTGGTGATTTGTAAAATGTTCAAAGAAGTACATGTAAATGGATGCGTATTTAAAATGAAATATTTGTGTAATTAAGAAGAGTTAATGAGAAAGAACGAGCGTTACAAAGGGTCAGACCGTGCATACATACATTTAAAGGAAGATATACAGATAGGGATACCCCCGGTATTTGCGCAGTACTATATTTGGTTAATGTTTGGTTTAATTGAAAAAGAAACTTACTTGAATAACACATTAGATCCATTTTGCTTTTGATCTTAATTATATAATACTCCTCATACCTACTATACCTATTCCAGCTAATGTACTTAAAGAGGAACCCGTTCACCGCGTCTTCAGGGGGTGAAAACCTCACAACAGGCCTGCTGCAGTTCGAAATGAAGACGGCGACAGGGGAGTTAGTCCCTCTTGGGTCATCTCAAGTTGAGGCCGAAATGACCGTCCCGATGACCTTCGCCGAGGCAATCGCTAGCTTGGTCAACATGACTACTGACCGAGGCGTCTCCCAAGTGTTGACCGTTGATAATTCGGCCATCTATGTCGTTGTGACCCTCCCGACAAGTCTGAATCTGGTCGTCCTCGGGAAGGTGGGAGGCGAGGCCACCAAACAGAGCTATGATTTTAAGTATTCCACGTCGTCAGTGATCGAGTCAAGGGACGAGAGAGTGAACCTGACAACAACGTTCGTGAACGGCTCCCTGGAAATGTTTATACCTCAATCGACGATAGATGGCGTTTCCACGCTGGGTATATCTGTTTTCCTAGGGACAGGTAATTAACGTGGGAGTGTTTTTTATAATTATGTTACTAAGATTTAGGGGGCATTGTTTACTGTAGGAGTAATAAATGAGAATTCAGTTAATTTATTATAAAACGTATTGGAATTGGGCGGTCTTTTATATTTTTTAATTTTTAACATTAAAAAATGTTACGTTATATCATACATTATATTATTACAAAATGACACAGCAATCGCAAGTTACTCAAAAGTAAAATACCTACATATTGAACATAAGTCTTTTAATTACTGTATTTATTTGCATGAAATTTTAATTCAGATGACACTGAATTCTGACGTATCCAAAAATTTCTTTGGATATGTAAAGTCGATATTTCTTAAATGCAGCTTCATCTGCCCAAACCACTGGGACCAGCCGGAGACGACTGCTGGCGACGGTCGCCGATTCCAATGTCACCATTTTGTCAACTGCCATCAAACCGAGTTTTTACAACAGCAGTTCTAAAACGTGGGGCACGTCATCCGGGCTACAGGTATGGAATCAGCTCGTCTTGCAATTTAGAGCTCATGCTTTTAGTATATGAGAGTTAAATATGCGCCTTGTATTATATGTATGGGCAAAGATATGGATACCCCAGTACTTGAAATTGTTTTTATAGTGAGTAAAAGTAAACCTGGAAATTTTTGCTCCTTTTGTATATGACTGTGGTTATAAAAATCGCGCCTATGGATCGACATAACAGGAAATTCACTAGTATCACATAAATGTCTCATTCAATATTTGGCGTAATTCATATTTCAAATCTTGCAATGGTTATTGTAGTTCGCAGACCTTCTTTTCTTGTTTTTTTTTCTTCTTCCTTATACAACTTATCGTCAAACACGAGCCATTGAGGTAATAAATAGTTTGCTAATGTGTTTATTTTTTTTACTAGAATGTGTATATATGTACAATAAATTCACCATTACGAAGCTCCAAAGCCTTTATTTAATTATATTATTATATATCAATTCCTGTTCCAGATAAGCGGGGCGTCACAGTCAAGCAAAATCATCTTCAAGAGCAACTTCTTCGGTTCTTTCGCTGCCGGACTTTTCATCCCTCCCAACACCATCGACTTCGACAAAGTATTTGGTAACTTCGGCGCCCTCCTGGCCCAGTCTCCACACGTTCTCATTCTCATGTGTTCCATTGTGGCCCTGTATTTCTTACTGTTGATCTGGGCAAGGAGAAAGGACAAGCAGGACATGCTGATGGTGAGTGGTTGGTTAGAGCAGTTTCACACCTAGCGCAATTAACAATGTGTAGGACAGCTAACACAATGTGAGACTACTGGTGTGCCAGGAATCATAGTCCGATTCCCATTACTTTATACAGATGACATTCGTCCCATATAACCTGTAGTTATCACTTGGGACGTCGGACGTCTATTCTTAGCACTACCATTCCTGTCACACCAAAGCAGCAGCAATGTTTCATTAACATCGTAAGACCAAACATTGATATTTTAAACTTTATACCTTGGTCTTTTTCGATCCAAACTAAACCTGATACAAGTAGAGTAGCAATACGTTCTAACCGTTGACCAGTTCTGCATTTAATAAAACAGATACAGCACTTTATTTTAATGGACAATGATTGATTTACCTTGGGTAGAAGAAAGCTGAAATTTGGTCTAAATAAATACACCAGCTGTCGCCCATGAAGTTTTTTCCAAATAAGAGTCTTGCTGATAAAAATGTAACATTTGACGAACAGTCCACATTTTAGCCTTTTTTTTCATAAAATGCACACTGTTGTATATCGTTCTGAATTATATATTAATCATATCATATGTTTTCAGTGGACACATCACCACGTGTTAGAAAACGAGCGAATGGATCACCAGCACTTCCTGATCAGCGTGTTCACGGGGTCCAAGTCCCCCAAAGACACCACGGTGGTGCCGTTTGTTATCCTGTACGGCACAGAGGGTAAGACGAGACCCAAGGTGCTTCTGGACATGCACAGAAAGGTTGGTACAACATGTACATGTAGCTGGTTGAGATGATATTGCGAAGTTATGAAAGATAAATTGATTCTGGTGCAAAGGAAGAATCTACGTGTATATAAACTTTGTATTTTAATAATATCTGTTTAACTTTTATCTTGTAATTTTAACCACTTTTATATAGGTTTTTATTTTATATTTGTACCTGTGGTTTTCAATTTGTTTTATGTGCATATGCAAACAATGCAGAGACGCATGTGAAGCGTGGTTTTAAGAAATGGAGTATTATCATTATTATTGTTTTCTGAATGGGAATAATTACTTTAGAGAAAAGACTTTTGTAACGTAACTGGTGGTGGTGTTATATTTGTTATGTTAGCGATTGGGAATAACTCATAACAGTGCAATGGATAAATTGGCTACATGTATATGCTATAAAAGATCTAAAAATGCTTTTTTCAGACTTACCAGAAGGGAAGCGTGTATAACTTTGTTCTGTCTACACCTCGTACCCTCGGTAAACTGACTCACCTCCATGTCTGGCACTGTGATCTAGACAGCAAGGCAGACTGGTTTTTAGATCGGGTTATAGTATACGACGTGCAAAGGAAAGAGAGGTATGGGTTCATATTGTATACTTTAATGAGAAAAATTACCTGTATGAATAAGAAAACAGATCCAGAGGAGTAAGTCCGCCATATAAATTAAAGCGCCATTTAAAGACGACAGTCCCTTTATGACGGGATACTCAGTAAGCATAAATGGCAAACGAAAGTGGAAGAAACCGTATGCTCGTAATACAAGTCGGTCATATCACGTACCTTCATGGATGTGTTCTCTTTTTTAATCGGGAGAAGTCAATAGATAAGAACGTCAAAGGGGTTTGTGTGAAGCGGATGTGCTAGTTTTTCTCGGTGGTAATGGAAAATGAAATATGTACATTTAGAAGCAATTTACGAACAATCACTTAAATATCGTGTTGTCTTAAAGGTAATCACGAGTTTAAATGAGCAAATAACAAACATTAAAAAAAAGGCGCTTTCGATCAAGTGTACAAATTTTAATCTACATGGTCATGAAGCAATATATATGCACCAAACAGCTATCAATTTGTTTCGTTTTTTAAACAATCTACGTGTTCTTTGCGGGGTATTTCTAAAAACAGGCATTTTTCTCCTACACCTCCAGATCACTCTTTCTCTGTAACCAGTGGTTATCCCTGGACAAAGGAAGCGGACAAACTGACCACCTACTCTCTGCCGCAGACGATGGGTCGTTAGAGGACTTCAACTTTCTCCTCAAGAATAACGCTAGCCAAAACCTCTTTGACGACCATCTGTGGTTCTCGGTTGCCAAGCGACCGACGCCGAGCCGATTAAGCCGAGTCCAGCGTCTGACGGCATGTCTGGCCGTCTTGTTTCTGTGTATGATTTCCAACGCCATGTTTTATACAGAGAGTGAGGATACGGCAAATGGTATCGTGATTGGCCCCATCGTTATATCATTCAGACAGGTCTACGTAGGTTTAATCAGTAGTTTATTAGTCGTTCCTCCAACTTTTGTTATTCTGGAAATCTTCCGAAGAAGTAAACCTAAGACTACGAGCAGGACTATTTTTCCTTATACCAAAACGCATGCACCAAAAGAGGAAGTGAAACACCCGTCAACGAGTACCATTTCGAAAGAAAATGGCGAATATTATGAAGCAGTGGAAAAAGCTCTCTTGATTTGCCAGAATTACAAAGTCAAACACGACAAACTGGAATTCAAAAACCAGGTTTCTCATTTTGGAGAGAAAGGCGTTGTTGCAGACGATATAAAAAGCCCGCCCGAGGCGACGACAGCACCATCTGGAAAGAAGTCAAGAAAACCACTTCGTTTCCCCTGGTGGGCCATCGTGTTTGGTTATATGCTGTCATTTCTGGCGATTGCAACGTCGGCTTTCTTTGTACTGTTGTACAGTCTAGATTGGGGTGCCACCAAGTCTTCTAACTGGCTTTTATCAATGTTCTTTGCTTTCACGGAATCTGTGATCATCGTTCAACCATTAAAGGTATGTGTGTGTATACATACTACTGAAATGGAATGTATCTGGCAGAAATGTATTAAAAATCCTTCTGAATAAACGTTCAGTGCTAGAGCGTTTTTGCATAGCGTGTTAAATAGGGAACCTAAAGTATATACATGCACAGTATTTTAATTTGAAGCTTCAGCATAGTCAAATTAGAAACACGATCTTGTGTCTGTAGGTAAATGGGATTCTAGTAATTTTGTCTTCTTCCTCTTCTGCTTCGTATAATAATCAAAATAGTTATGTTGATTTGGTAGTTGGTACTTAAAATCCCCCTTATTATACGTAGGTGATTGCCGTAGCTGTGGTGATGTCGATGATACTGCGCATGTCAGGAGACGGAGAAACGGAAGATGACGTCGTGATTGCTGATCACGAGCTTCTGCCTAGAGGATGTAAGCTTTTGGAAATACTCGTGATCTTTGTTAATTGCATATATAAATACAGTGAGATGTTAAATTTAACACGCGCTAGATGTTTTATAAACTGGAGAAACCCCGACGGTATTTTTATGTACGCATTACATTGTACATATTTAAAAAAAACTTACAAAAGGACATTTTGTTGTGCAAGTTATGTCTTTATCTTTAAGAACTACGCAACAAAAGCGTGCACCCACACCATTTAATCATTGCTATGATACAACGATCTCTATGGTGATTTTTATTAATTTCATCAAGTAAAACATAACATATATATTTTATTCCCTACTTTCAGATCCCATACCGAAGCCGCCTTTCATTCCCGTTGGCGACACCACAATAGATTATGCCTCGGAGGAACGCAAACGACTACGACGAAAACACGACGCTCAACTGTCCGGATCCCTGAGAGAAATCTTCATACACATCATTTATCTGATTCTGCTCATCTTCATCTGTTTTGCCAACAGGGATAAGAACTTCTTCCTTCAAAACGAGGCGTTACGGAACAGCTTGGATCAGTACGAGACCTCTTCGAATTCGGTATGTGCAGGTTTTGTATGGCATTGGCGGATTCCCGGGGTTGGGTATGGGGGGTAGGGGTCAGAGAGCACGTGCTCGACTCTCGGAGTGGGATGGACCCATACTTTTCTCCCTATCCACCCGCCTTCTTGAAGGGAAAAATATGAGCGATACAACACTAAGACATTTTTCCAAATCTGCCCAACGTGTATAACAGAAAAACGGTTGTCCATTGTTTTATATTTGTCTCACTTCGTTGTTGAAATATGTTTTCCTTTGTTCCCCCCTCCCCCAAACAAAACCATGGATCCACCAGTGTGTGTAGCGTATGGACTACTTTGAAACTTGATTCCTGTGATATTTTTGATTTATATAGAGGTACAGGTATATTGAAATGTTTTAAACAGGCGTTATTGAATTTGCATTAAATAAGAGGTTGCAACTAGAGAAAAAGACTATATTGTTTGAACTTTAAAAGGGTGAGTTAGCTGAACATACATTTGCTACCTTTGAATGGGGAACTTTCAACAGAATACACGTTGTCAATATATATATAATATATACGTACCCATAATCTCTTGTAGGTTTCACGGTTCGAAGCAATCTTTGCCTGGCTGAGCGACCGTATCTTGCCGATCGTGTTTCCTACTGTAGATTACAATAACGATGCCCTGGACACGTATGACCAGCAGTTCATGAAGGACATCTATGGCCTGAGACTTGGACCACTGCGTATACGTCAAAAGAGAGTGGTAGATGGTAGGAATATATGTGTATAAAGTGCTGTTTGTAGGAGTTATGGGTTTGACCATGGGTCATGGGAGTAAAGCCGAAGACTCTTACACATCTCCCTATAGTTAAAATAAAACATAATAATTAATGTTATTTGTAGTATAAAGAGTGTGCTCCTCTATGTGAGATTGCTGATCATGTTATCATGTTAGATATGATAGTATCGTTGTTTACACAAACACCTTTGATAGTATATATTAATATATAAATGAATATCTGGTGCCATGCACGTATACAACCACGACCTCAGTGATTTGGGGATCTGATTCCTGTTAATTTGTAATTGTAACGCCCGCCCTAGACTTTGATCCAGTTACTTGACGCTCATCATAGCTTGTTTGAATCTGAGGGAGAGCGGCCGGTGTAACAGAAATGGAAGTCCGCTAGGAACCGCAGTCCGTTACTTTGTACAGGTGACATTTGTCCCACACACTAACCCCAATACTCCAACTAACTTTATCCTATACTAATTATATGGGAGTCCGGACATCCATTCGTAGGTCTTTCATTCCTGTTACCCTGGGACGCCTCCCCCCCCCCCCCCCCCCCAGTTTCTCAACACCAGAAGAAGGTCCCTTTGGAGTAAACAGAAGACAACGATTACGCTGTGTATCATCCCCTATAGACTCACCATTGGCTGTGTTTCTAGCTTTGTTTTTACATACATCTAATCATCTGTTTCAGAGTTGTGCACGGCCGATTTTCCCCTCAAGATGTCATTCAATTCTTGCAACTCGGATTACCACGTGTTGAAACAAGACAAGAAAAGTTACGAACCTGGTAAGGAAACAAACGTGCCTCTTTGTTCATGTGGTGAATTAATTCACTTTAAATACCTTTGAAAGAGTAATTTATCTCTAGGAAACGGTAGACATTTTTTTCTGTAATTCACGCGTTTAAAGCCTTCTTAACATTGTAACACAAGGAAGCAAACAATTTAAATTTTGCCGATTGCAGTTGCTTTTACTTTTAAACACTACATGTACTCATGCTTTAAAGCATCATATTGAATGTTTTAAAAACTCGTTTACGATAAATGCCTGATTCATTATCTTAAAATTTAGCATGGGAGGTTCCAACAGCTAACTCCACAGGAGCACCAACTCTGGGGTTTAATTACACCACACCGGACGGAGACAAGGACATGGCGGCCACAGGAATGTTTGCCACTTATGAAGGTGACTACTTGATTTTTTTCTTTTGTCAACTGATCATTTACACGAAATAATACCAAAAATTAATTAAAAAATTCGAAAACGTTGACATTACCTCAATGGTCATGCGTATGCGTGGTTCGGAGATGATCTGAAGTTACAGTGCAATACACCAGTATAATTATGCTGATTATTTGCAGGGGGCGGTTACTTTGTGGAAATTAATTCCTTATCACAGGGGACAAGTGTTCTGGCCACGTTAAAGGCGGACAGCTGGATCGATCGCTTGACCAGAGCCATCTTCGTCGAATTCACCATTAATAACATGAACGTCAACGTTTTCTCCATGGTGAGAATTAAAGTGGAACTTCCGGTTGTGGGCGGTATTTTCACCACCAGAGAACTGGTCAGTTTTCGGCCTTACCCCTACGTGAATCCATTCGACTTCGTCCTGCTGGTCATCCAGGTGATTTGGGCCTTGGTGGTGTTTTATCTGCTGGTCAAGGAGGTCATTAAGATGGTCAAGACGGGGGTCCAGTACTTTAGGGAGTTGTGGCACTACGTGGAGTTGTTGGACCTAATCTTTGCTGTGACCAGTATGGTCTGTTTTGTCCTCAGGACCGTGTACATTATTCGCTCAGTTGAAGATGTAAAAAATAACCAAGGTAATTATTCACCGCTAAAAGATAATTAAAGTGTATGCTTGCCATTTTAACCGTTTTTTAGTATTTAGAAAGTTGTGGTTAAGTTCAAACTTGTGTTAGAACAATACTGGTAAGATGTCTGAACAGATATGTGCGTCTGGTCCTTTACATGGTGCTCTCAGTACTTTTATACACACATTATTTACCATGGCGCCATCTATTTCAGGTCGCTTCGTCGGCTTCGATATTGTAGCCAACTGGGACTATGGCTACTCAATAACCATCGCATTTAGCCTTTTTCTTGCCACTCTGCAGCTTTTCCGACCGCTTTCCTTTAATAAGCAACTAGCCATTCTTCGGGCGTCTCTCTCGCGGTCGTCAATATACCTCTTTACCTACGGCCTTATCATCGTCATAATTTTAACCTCGTTCGGAATCGGGACTCACTTACTCAGTGGCGCCACCTTGGAATCGTTCCGGACGTTCGGAGCGGCCCTCTTCAATCTTTGCGGGGTCATGCTGGCCGTATTGGACTACGAGGACGTCGTGCCGGAAGACACGTTGTTGTTGAAAGTGTTCTTTATGATGTTTGCTATGGTGATGAACTTTCTCATAATAAACATGTTTATATCTGTGATAAATGATACCTTGTACGAGATCAAGTTGGACGACTCAAAACAGGATTATGACAAAGAACTGGCTGATCATTTGACTATGAAGATTGATACCTGGTTCAGGTCGCTGTTCAAAAAGAAACCAAAGCAGCAACAAGTGCGTCCCGAACGGAAATATTCAAGTAAGTATACACGAATAAACGTGTATTTACATAAAAAAAAGCAAAAATCAACTTAAGTATAAATGAAAAGGATTGACTTAAAGAAGGCTTTTTAAAAAGTGTCCCTTCACGAAGCATTTGAAATGCTTTTGCATAGTTTTTGGCTCTTAAATAAACATTTTCTTGTAATTCAAAGATATAAGTCCACGTTAAAAAAATCACAAAATACCGTTTGTAGATTTAACGGATAGTTAAATTTATTAGCAAATATGAATACAAATATCTAACATACTGTATGGCATGGATGCTTTCGTGATTTATCGTCTTCAATTGTTAGTGTAAGCTACATCCTAATGTTGGTTTGATTATTCAGTATTTATATTCACGTTTTTTTCTATGTACTGTAGTGAAAATGGGCGCCGAAGAAACTCCCGCCATAACAGTAACCTCGCCCAATGAACAGACGAGAGATATTTCACCTGGACACGTGCTCCCAAAAGAATCAAAACTCTACTTGGAAATGTCCTCGGAAACTCCAAGAAAAAAGAAGAAAAAGAACAACAAGAACGTAATTGCCGGCAGGCGCCATGTTGTTATCCACAGCCAGACTGCCCAGGAGTACATATTGGACAGCGGGACGAGGGAAAGTGGGGAAGTCTGGCAGAACTTGATCGATCGTGACGTAGATACCACACTGGGTCTCTTGGACAAGGTGTGATTTGTTTTAGTTTAAAGCGAGATATTTTGAGTTTTTTTTCGGAAATTACAGGGGCACTCTCTCTCTCTCTCTCTCTCTCTCTCTCTCACACACACACACACACACATAATGTTAAATGCTCTCTACATACACACACTGGACAATAGAAGTGTCACCCCCTAAATCAGAGTAATAAAAGTAGGCAGATCTTGGGTAGTTATACTTATGTCTACTTATAATGTGACTAATGAGTATAAAACCGCTATACCATGGAATTGTATTGTTGGTCTTGCACATGTACAGCAAATGTTATTCCTGTCTTCCTCCAGTACGGCAAGATACAGGCAATTATCTAACGGTTATATGCATCAAGTTATTAACCTGAAGAGGCGGAATATAAGCAATGTCAGAATATCGATACAATTGAACTGTTCAGTCAGAACCGTGCAGAGGGTCTGGTCTCGGTAAAGAAACATTGGATCAAGAGACAAATTGCCTCTGATGGGTCGTCCAAGAAAAACTACTGGCCGTGAAGACCGACGACTGATTTTGATGTCCAGGTTGTCAAAGTTCGACACTGCTTGTCAGTTGACAACACAGTGGAACAACTTCACACATAAGAATGTGTCTGTGAAAATTTCTAGGCGTCGGTTACATGCTCAGAGAGTGTACAGCAGGGTAGCAAGACTGAAACCTCTTATATCGTTACAAAACAGGCAACGTAGAGTGAACTAGGGCCAACAGGATCTGGAACTGGACAGTCCATGACAATTGGTCCTATATTTTTTTTTCTGATGAGTGTCGTTTTGGTCTGAATTCTGATGACAGACGGGTACGATGCTGGCGAACTGTTGGTAAAGCATTTGAACCACATGCACTGAATTTTCGAACCCGGAGCAGCATATTTATCATGGTGTGGGGCTGCATCAGCATCCAATTCGTGGGCGAATTGATAGTGGTTGATGGAAACATGAATCACTAGAAATATATCGATGTTTTAGAGTCAGGCTTGCTACCATCTATTACTAACATGTTTGGTGACAGGAATTATCCATTTGTTCACCAGGATGACAATACTCCTTGTCACAGGCGCAGAGCAGTTGATGATTGGTTTGACCAACAGGACATTCGCGGGGTGATGTGGCCTGTCCACAGTCTGGATGCAAATATAATAGAAAATGTGTGGAATGATATGTCAAAACTTTTGACAAATGCCCGTCTTACCAGCAGAGAGACTCTGTTATATTCAGTGTTTCATGCTTGGGCCAGCATAAGCCCTAAACGCATCAGACAATTATATGAAACCTTGCTTCGTAGACTGGCACCTTTTATTAGGTCACGTGGCTATGCCACTAAGTACTTATTTTGGACTTGAAACTGCATATTTTGGTAGAATGTATCTTTTGTTCTCATTTTGTGATTTTTTTGTGAAATTTGATGGCAATAAAATTATACCAGGAGCATATCATTCCAAAGCCATTTATCTCCCGCAAAGTATTGGTTCGGTAGGGGTGACACTTCTATTGTCCAGTGTGTGTATTTATGCTTGAACTTATGCCAGTATGTAGAAGTATGGTATTCTGAAAGAATTGGTTATCACATTATGAGTTGATAACGTTATTATTACTACTTCAGATCTACATTTGATTTACATGTACATTGTCTCCACTTTCATGTAATGGTATCATAAAATATAAACAAACGTAAGCCGTACTGGTATGTGTAGCAGTATAATATTAAGGTGCTTTTTTATCATCACATTTGTAATTTTTGTGTACTAATTAATGCGTTCACCTTTTCAGATGAGGAGCAAATTTTCCAAACTGTTTGACCAGTTTGTTGTCGCAGAGGAAACTTCGCCAGAGCGAATGTTCCGCGAAATTATGGAAGAACATTTATTAGAAAGACGACAAGCGGCAAATATGGCAGAAGAAAGTGCATACATGGAACGCATAACAAAAAGGTGTGCGCGCAATTTACCAATGCCATTTGTCGACGAGAACTCTCGAGAACATAAGAGAACTGGGAAACGTGGACACTCTGTGGCCTGGGCAATGGATATTGAACAGAGTGATAAAACACCACTGAAACAGAACGGTCACTTGGTGGATGTTGAAAAATCTGTTCATGACAAGCTAATATCTTCAAAGACAGGACAATCAAACAACGGGCATACTCCTGGGCATCCGGATGCATGGATTGTGAACGAATCTACTTCAAATCTCTAAATATTCAAAACTTCATACAGCCCCAAAAAGGATATATCAGCGCAAATATTTGAAATTCTGCCGCGTTACTTAGCACTTCACAACAGTCTGTATAGAGAAAAAACAACCGTATATTAACCGTTATAGTTGAAGCGGTTATACCTAACTGAATGTATTGTTTAAAGGTAACATAAATGTTAGCCGTTTGGATTGGTTAAATGGTTGGTGGGGTGTATACTGACCGAGTGAAGTTTTTAATATTGAACGTATTTTCGGATATATCGGTGCTTATTTCTGGTGCCTTCGTCCCTGGAATAAACTTGAAATGTGATTTTAATGTACACAAGTTTACATTCGAATATGCAATACAGTATATTGTAACGAAATTAACCAAATTTTGTAAATAAATGTTTTCAGGTAATTTACTATGTTTACAGTGTCTTTAATAGACCCAGTGAATTGGTTTCTCTTCACTTCATTGTTTTAAAATACTCTAAGCAATGGGCCCGTGAGATCAATTTTCTCCTGCTTTTTCGAGATACAAAATGTCGATGGACCCCCCCCCCCCGTGTGACCTACTTGTAGGCTACCAGTAATAGATGAATTATTTGAAGATTGCGTGATGTCATGGTGAATATTTTGACACGTTACTCTTTTTCCCGTTGGATTTCCATTAAGTAAATACTGTTGATAGTATTTCTCTTTCTTCTTCTCATTTTTGCTATTTTTATTGGTGTTCAAATTAAATGAGCACTACAGTATTAAGTCCACGACTGATAGCCGATTTCACTGGAGCCGTTTATACTATTAACTTGCTAACCCTTTTGTTTAAAGATTATTATGCGTTTCTCAAGTTCCCTTATAAAAAGAAATCAACAAACACTCAAATCTGGGATTAAAATATTTATTTGGGATATATTTCGGAAATCAAGCAATAAGAAAAAAACGTTATATTGTTAATGTGACATAGAAAGTGTACTTATTACATATACGTAGTATTAGGTTATATAAAGTTAAAATTGTTACCGTATACATAAGGATTAATAGGCCTACAATCCCTGAAGAAAAAAGCGGTAAGCGATATTTACTATTAGGAAACAGTCATCTGTGAGTCATGCCCGACTTCTTTGCCTATAATCCTAGTTTTTTTCCGCCCAGCCATTTATAACAAGTAGAACATCCCTCCATAACTGCATTAAATACTATTCATTGCAATGCAAAAATATGCCAATATACAGTTCATTAAATATACCAATACACAATACATTAAAATACCAATATACTTATATAATAATTGAAACAGAGGGGTGACAAAGATATTGCATGCTGTTCTGTCGGATAGGATAGGATTTGTAGGATATTCACACAATAACTTTGTCACCACTGTTTCTACCCTTATAACTAAAAAGCATATTGTGCATATTTACAACGTAGGAAGTTTATTGGGGTAAGATTGGCCTAAGAGTCTGAATACCCACATATTGTTAATTAGCATAATAATTAGTCATCAACAAAAGTACTATCTACGTTCCATATACATACCGTAACTAATGTATTTAAAAACGTGTAAAACCGACCCAGATTGTGTTTCGACGGCCACTCACTGAATGATGTCTCAGTTTCTATCAGTTATTATCAAGTCATTATTACTAATTTATTATCTTACATTAAAAGGTACACATTTAAACTAAGCCAAACCAAAGAGCTTGTAATACACATAACTACATGGTGAACTCATAACAAACATGACCTTTGCCGCCAATGATTAACAAACCATTGCTTTATTAATAATAATAATAATAATAATAATAATAATAATAATAATAATAATAATAATAACTACTATTGTTATTATTGCAACTACTTGGATTGTACATGCGCTATAAACGATTGGAAATATTAACTCGACACAGAATAACTAACAAAATTAATACAAAAAGAAGAAGAACGGTAAATTGCATACCCTGGAAATCTAGAAATATGATAATTTTTCACAACATAAGAAAAAGTAATTCAATCAAGCCGGTTTTCATGAGATATTTTCTAATCCTAAGAATCACTCTTGTAAGTTACAAAATAAGTGACCCGGCTTCCCTTTCATAGTATTTGTGATGGCAATGCACAAAATAGTTTTTTGTCAATTTGATACAATGTTACAAAATGATAAATAGCATAATCACCATCAATCTTTATCATCCTCTTTACATTACACAGCACAGTCCCACACTGAATACGACAATATGTGAGAAAATTTCACAAAAAGAAAAGATGTTAAGCTACCTGAAAAAGAATATAATTAGACTGTTTTTTCAACTCAAGCTATACTTCTGTCATGTCATCAGTGTCCAAAATAAGGTTTTCTTCAACTTTGATGCAGTATTACATAATGTCTAACAGCATAATCTTCAACAACTAAAAAAAGGAATCCAATCAGGCTAATTCTCAATCACAACCTGTATCTAAGTCACATTTATCAGTCCTGTAAATTTTAAGATTATATAGCGATCAGTTAAGAAGTTCTCCATGAAATGTGGTGCATTTATTGCATATATATATATATATATATATATATGTTCACGGTCATTCACGGTCATTCAAATCATTCACGGTCACAATAAAAAAATTCTCAAAAACATGTTAGTTAACACTCAAGATAAGAAATGTAATTGTAGAGCTCCTAGTAAGTGTCCTTTGAGAGGGGAATGCTTGTCTAGCAACATTGTGTACCAAGCATCAGTCACTACTAAGGACAAATGCATGAAATATATAGGGCTTTGTGGTGGCCAATTTAAGTTGAGATACAATAATCACACCAAGTCATTTAGAGACAAGAAATATGCTGCAGATACTGAGTTATCCAAATACATTTGGAAATTAACAGAAAATAAAACCCAGTATGACATTAGATGGGACATCATAAAGAAATCAACGCCGCAAAGGAGAAATCAGCACCTATGCAATCTTTGCTTAGACGAAAAACTGTTGATAATGATAACACCAGATACTCTGAATAAAAGAACTGAGATAATTACCATGTGTCGGCATAAAGTGACGTAACTAACACGGCGTGCGACGTAAGTGTCGCCACGCTGTGTATGTAAAACGGCTAATATAACCATTTTCAAATAAACCTCCTGACGATCGGGCATACCTTCTGGGTATGCCCGTGAAACTCGGAGTCGGGGTTATAGCATGTCTTTTGTTTATTTATTTATTTATTAATTTTAATTGTGTACAAATGCTCCGTACTGTTGAGCACTCTGTTCCACATTCACGCTTGTTATATATATATATATATATATATATATCTCGAAGAATTAAGTCAGTTCACCGTGAAAAAGTGCTCCACCCATGGCGGCGGCCCGTGGGGAGCTGGTATAATCAAGGATGTGAATAACTTAGTTTCCTCTCTCCATTTTATTTAAAAAAAGCCCTACGGCCGTTTCGGCCCTGAGGCCTCGTCAGGGGCGAAAACAAATTTGTAATTTCACTCCTATGAGTCTGAAGACAGCAGACTTCAACTACACATCTGTGTCTGTACATAAAATTTGCATTTCTATGAAAATGAAGCTGTCGAGTTTTCTTAAATGCTATTCAAAGACTCAATTTGACTTGTTATACGTGCATGACTTTGACATCAAATGGTTTCCAAACTGTAACTGCCCGCGATATTTTTTATTTTTCATTTATTTGAGTTTGTCGTTTATTTACTTATTATTCATGCAAAATATATTTCCGTTCTTTCTCATTTGCCCTTCTTTGTTCTCTCTCTCTCTCTTTACTAATTATAACGTTACAGGCCACCGCACTTACGTAACCGCACTGTCACGTGCCTGGACCACACCCTGCACTGAACAGTTTTCATTTCACAGCTTATATAAGGCTTTCTCTCTATTTATTTTTGCTCACTTCACTTTTGTGCTTGGAACGGGACAGAAAAATCTAACGACACAGTATATTAGCTCACTTAGTCGGAGGAAAAGGTTAACTATTTTAAAGCTAGCGTTAACTTCCCCGGCTCTGGGTCTTTGCAACGTTTCTATCTTTCCTTTTATAGGGATATTGCCACACTGAGTCGGGGACTAGGCACATTATTTCAACGTTTACGTAAACTTCTCCGGCTCCGATTATTGTATTTCCATACCCTGCACTTTACATCGATAGTCATTTTGGATTATCAGGCCTACCCAACTACCAGACTCAGCACCTAAGAATCCTGAATTAACCGGTATATCGAACCACGCTACCCGTTTTCAAGGTGTGTGTCAGATCGCATTTCGGAGTATCATACGCCAGAACAAATTTTGTAGCACGACTGCGGGCTCATCCACGCTCGGCTGAACAACCTTAAACTGTACTCTTACTTTTGAGTACTCTATTTCATTGTCTCTATGGGGATATATGGGGACTTTACGACATTCGGTTTGAATGTGTTAACCACTTTTGATAGGGCTTTTTCGCATTGTATTAGATTAATGTGGCAGTCTAAGGTTCATCTAGGTGGCTTTCAAATTTATGCACCCGGTTTTAAAATCATATAGCGATTTTACGACAATCGTTTACTATCCAATCAAGGTGACAGCCGAGCATGCCAGGTCTCATCCTGTCGGTGTTCTGGCTGATACTCCGAAATGCGATCTGACACACACCTTGAAAACGGGTAGTGTGGTCCGATATAACGGTTAATTCAGGATCCTTAGGTGCCGAGTCTGGTAGTTGGGTAGGCCTGATTATGGAATACTTGGGTAAAAGAGGCATTGTCATGTTTGATTTGGTGCATGTGAATCTGAAAATATACGGTCTCCAATTGGACGAAATTAACTGTGTGAACATATTTCCAAAAGAAGCCAAGTGTTTTTACTGTGGTACACTATACTGCAGATTGTCCTGCACTTTCATATTCCGTATTTTCTGAGCTATGGATAAGGGGTGTATTTACACTACCTATGTCCTTTTTGTTACAGCAACTGGATTTTTTACAATACTTGCAAATGTAACAACACAATATACATAAATAATATAAAATAAAAAACCCTAAACATGAAATAGGGAAAAGAAACAACCCAAACTGCACCTTATTTACAACATCTAATACCTCCTTACTTATACCTAATGGATGCCCAGTGCCAAAATCTCCGACTTGAATGGCGTTAAGCGCACCGACTATTACCAGAACTAAACTCGTCAAGACATATACTGTATTGGCTACGGCACTTCCTAATGGTCTTATCCAAGTTACCAACACCAGATGAAAAGCACTGAGAGATATGAGAGTAGGTATTCTTATCGCCTGGTCATACAATAACAATTTGCTTAAGGCTGTAAAAACGATAAGAAACAGCATTTCACAGCCTTCCCAAATGGGCCTTAGAGAGTCACGCCAGCTTTTGTTATTAGTATTGTGCCGTTCATCATGCCGTCCCTCTTGCGCAACGTCGTCATTTTGGTAACTTCTTTGCTTATTCAATTGGTTATCTCCATTTTTATTACCTTCCCGCTTAGTAATTTGTTCCTCTTCATTTTTGTTAATTTCCTGCTCATTCACTTTGTCATCTTCATTGCGGTTACTTCGCCCCTCTTGTGCTATTTCGTCAAATACAGTAGTGATACAGTCCATAAGTAACCTCGATGGACATTGGCATTTCCTCTCATAACAGCATTTGATGCAAGACCAGACAAGCATCATGAAGCTTAGTAGCAATGTAGGCAGCCACAATAGTGTCAAGAAGTAAAAGCAAGTTACATATTTGCAGCACTTCTTCTTACATCGCTTACTTAATAAACACATAACAACAAAAGGGTAAATCCATAGGAGAGTAATTGAAGTAACAATGAAACCAAACAAAAGCGGATTTGTTGGTACTGGAAAGGAATCATCAATGAACTTCCTATTTAATCCGCTCTCGGCATAGGTAGGGACGACAATGCTTACAGCAATTGGACACATAAAACCATATAAAAATCGCCATAAAGAGAAATATTGCTTGACACAAATGTAGAGAAAAGTACCCTTTATATCTGTGCTGCCATCTTCTTTGCCCCCCTCCTTAAACCTGGTTTCGGTAACACAAGGTAGGCAGGAAGTCTGAATATCCTGCGCATCGTATGTAGGCACATCTGTTCCATTTCCACTTGGGGCCTCCCCTTCTCCATAGCCCCCCTGAATACTGACATTTGTATTTGTGGTCTGCGGCTTTTTTTTAAAGAACAGCAAAGATGGCACTAAAAAAAATATTAAAGTGAATGCCGGTAGAGAAAAAAGTAAACCGAGAAGTTGAATAGCAGCCTCTGATTCATTCTGGGTCAATGTCGGGGGGCGGACAATTGAAAAATGAATGTCTTGCATCTGTGTATGAGGGAACACACCGTCATTGACTTCATAAGCAAAGAAAGTAGGGTAAAAAAACGAAGCAATACGTTGCACTGTTTCCAGGGTTGAACGTGCACAGTCTGCAGAGCATCCTCTAGCCTCTTCTATATTTTCTGTGTTGTCCTCAGCGTTTTCCTTACTAGAAATGCATTTTATACATCTACATCTGAGTAAAAGCCACACAAATGTGCGTTTCCCACCTTTTTTTATATAAGCTTCGCATTTCTTGCAGGGAGAGCAATTCTTACATAAATGCCATCCAAAATATACAGCTGTTAACAGGAAAGGGGAAAATATATAAATGAACATGGTAAGCTGTCTCGGCTCCAATAATTCATTCGAATAACACTTGTCTGAGACGGCGATGGCGTTAAAGAGCCTGAAAGCAAACGAATACCCTTCTTTACACTGGCTACATGCTGTTCCTTCACGGTTCCCGCTACAAGATTGTGGATTGACGCAAGTAAACATGCTGCAGCAGGTATGAGGTTTACAAGCTATGCATTTAAAACTTTTCACATTGCCTGAAACTACCTGTTGGCACCAGTTATTGTGCCGTGCGTGTATATCTCCATTATAACAGTGACCACCACCTGGACAATCCAGACATTGAAAATTAGTCTCGTTAGCCGAGGAATGATCAGACATTTGGGCAGCGTCTAGTGTATAACTGTTCCTGGGGCACATATAACACTGGAACATGTTCATATGGGCAAATGGCATAGTGATGTTTTTTACAGAGTTGTATTTCACAGGGCACACAACCGTCGAGCCATGGAGAAGTTCAATGTAAAGTTGGGGTTTGTATTCCGGTACAAGGGGTTCTCGTGTCATAATGGTTAGTGGTGACGAAGAGCCCCTGGTGGCATATACTGTGGAATTAGATAGACGCAGTGAATCTCCTGATAATGAGTGAACAATGCTTGTTGCGTTTCGTGGCAGGTCAGATTGCAAGATAGAATCTTTTATGTCGCACGTGTCGTGATACTCGTCTAGAAACAGAGTGGTTCCCGTTAATGCAGAATTGTTTACAAATGTGCAAGATTCTATGACGGTCCTGCTTCCACTAAGATACATTGCACCACCATAACTTATCTCTCCTAATGCTTTATTACCGATAAAAGTCGAGTTCCGAATTAAAACAAGGGTATTCGATGTGGTCATGATGGTGACCCCGCCCCCATGCCAAAACCCAGTATTGTTCTTCAAGTACACATTGTCCATGACAATATCCATTGAGCTCGGGGAACCACCATAGTAACACCGTATATCAACACCTCCTCCTCGATTGGGAAAATAATTGTCAGACAGGTTTACCCTTTCAAGAAAGATTGAAGAACGAGAGTGCCTTTCGGAAACATGGGAATGATTCATGTTGATCAACACAACACCCATAAGAACGTCATATGTTGTATTTGTGGCAGTAGACAGAAGGACTCCTCTATTGTTCACAAAGCTTACATCGACTACAGATATATTGCTCCAACGACCCGATTGGATGTTCACGACACTGCCGTTTTGTAACTGCAAGTTGGATTCAAAATGACACTCTCTTATGTTGAGATACAGTGAAGCTGTAGTTGTAAAATGTAGACTGTTGGCGGAGTAATGTCCAACGTTGTCAAGAAATGTACTATCTTCCACCACAGCTATCACGTCATGATTTGAACTGACATGAACGCCGTTGGAGTTGTTTTGAAACACACAACCGCGGAGAGTTAGAGAGACAAAACTACTTAAACCGGGGCTTTGAGCTACGTGTTCGATAAAGACAACAGGCGAAGGTTTGGCATTCGCTGTAGAAACATTATCGGATTCGTTGTAGTTCCAGTAGAATGTTACGTTTTCCAGTGTAAGGGCAACATAGCCACTGACAGTTAAAGCAGAACCACGATAAGGTTTTACAACTTGGTTTGCTGTGCTGCCATTGACAAATACTATGTTCTTAAATACCACGGTTGAACCATATTCGGGCGGTGAATAAAACCAAAAGGCAGAACCATTCTTTTGACAGTCAATGTAGGCGTGGTCTTCGGAACAATTGCCCCAGGTAGACATATGCAATGATGATCCTTGAGGTGGAAATGTTATTGCTACCCCACCTGGTTGGCCATTCGGTCTATCAGGAACACATTCATAATACGTATTGTTCTGTCCACATTCCAACGAAACAGAGAGACCGCCCTCAACCCATTTGGTTTGAATCACATGGGTATATGTTCGACATGGATGGCTCTCCGTACCACAGTTTTCGTCATCTAGCCCTTTAGAAGGAGAAACAAACCAGTCCCTACAGGCGCCTAAAATGTATATATATATATTTCAGAGATAAATTAAGGTATCAAAGAAGTAGCTTTGCAAGTTAAAATGAAACCCCTCTATTAACCAGGGCTCATAGTTCATAAGGGTCTGAGTGGGGTCTGAATTTAACGATGGTTTCCAAAAATACCTAAATCAGACATGACCAAATGTTTCAAGTTTGTACTTGGGAACACGATTGTGACTTTATAAATATGGCAGCAACTCAATTAAAAATAATTTCAATTAAAAATAATTGAATATACCAGCTTACCTCTTTTCAATAAGATGAGGAAAAAGCACAAAAAGTTCAGCCTAAGTCCCAGCCGTAACATCGTTGTATCGCTGAAATGTAAAACTGATTGGTTGACAGAAAATTCAAGTTTAATGGCACGAAAATGTTCACTTCCCCCGCATTCGGTGATTATCTTTACACCAACCTCTTTCCTCACGTTCAAATAAGAGCGGATTTAATGAGGAAGTTTCAAATTACATATTAGGTCCTCGATAACTCTTTTATGTGAGCTTTGTCATTGTGAATATTTAGCTAGTGATTGCATAGCGGCAGGGCGTTGATAAAGCAGTACCTTTGTCATCAGAATAAAGTGATATTTCTGCAGTCAACACTTTCATATTAAAATAGTTTTAATTCCAACATTCCGATGTCTAACAAATCATCTTTATCGGGGACTGAGGCTATCCAGGTAAAAACATCTATTCAGCAGATTCCGGAGTTGACAGAAGAAAAAAAATCACTTCATTATTATAACATATCAAAGCTGATGGAATTCGTCTCTGATGGTGTCTTTGTTATTTTATTTGTCATCTGGGATATCTAAATTCCAGTCTGTATGTTTTCGTGTTCTCCCTAACCAGATCCCATTTCAATTACTGCTGTCACCGAGGCAAGGGAGAGGTAAGATTACATCGTGGGGTCAGGAATTTTCCTTAAACCTTTATTTCTGATTCACATTAAAGCACAGGTAGACACATGCAATGATACAGCCCTAGATCCAGCCGTAACATCATTGTACCACTGAAAGTAAAACTCATTGGTTGATAGAAGAATCAAGTTGAATGCCATTAAAAAACTTTCGCTTTCCCTGTAGTCGGTGATGTATATCTCCTTTACCTTTACACCAGCCTCTTACCTCACGTTTTTTTGCGTTTACAATATAAGAAAAAACCTAACGAGGAAGTTTCAAATTACACACTAGGTCCTCGATGACTCTTTTGTGTGAGTTTTTCCATTCTGCATTGTGAATATTTAGATAGTCATTGCATAGTGGCAGGGTTTTTAGAAAGCAATATCTTTGTTATGAGAATGAAATGATTTTTCTTCAGCCAACACCTTTATATTGAAAAAGTTTTAATTCCAACATTCCGATGTCTAACAGAGCATCTTTATCAGGCTATCCAGGTAAAAAGCATCTATTCAGGAGATTCAGGAGTTGACAGAAGAAAAAAAATCACTTCATTCCTATAACAATACAAGCTGATGGAATTCTTCTATGATGGTACCTTTGTTATTTTATTTGTGATCTGGGATATGTAAATACCAGTCCGTAGGGTATTGTGTTCTCCCTGGCCAGATTCCATTTCATTTACTGCTGTCACTGAGGCATGGGAGAGGGAATATTGCATCAAGTGATCAGACATTTTCTCAAACTTTTTTTCTGCTTTGCATTAAAGCACATTAAATATAGCTCGAGACCCAGCCGTATCATTTTTGCTGGAAAGTAAAACTGATTGCTTGATAGAAGAACCAAGGTAAATGCCAAAAAAAAAAAAAAACTTTCGTTTGTCCTATTGTCGGTGATGTATATCTCCTTTACCTTTAAACCAACCTCTTACCTCATATTTTTCACATTTACGATATGAGAAGAAACTTAACGAGGGAGTTTCAAATTTCACACTAGGTCCTCGATAACTCTTTTGTGTGAGTTTTTCTATTGTGAAAATTTAGATAGTGATTGCATGGTGGCAGGGCTTTGAAAAGCAGTCTCACAACCACTTCATTCTTATAACAATACAAGCTGATGCAGTTCTTCTCTGAGGGTGCCTTAGTTATCTTATTTGTCATCTGGGATATCTAAATTCCAGGCCGTAGGTATCGTGTCCCTAACCAGATTCAATTTGAATTACTGCTGTCACTGAGGCATGGGAGAGGGAATATTGCATCAAGGGGTCAGATATTTTCTCAAACTGTTATTTCTGCTTTGCATTAAAGTACATAAAATATAGCTCGAGACCCAGCCGAATCATTATTGCTGAAACGTAAAACTGATTGCTTGATAGTAGAACCAAGGAGTTTTTCTATTGTGAATATTTAGATAGTGATTGCATGGTGGCAGGGCTTTGAAAAAGCAGTCTCACAATCACTTCATTCTTATAACAATACAAGCTGATGGAATTCTTCTCTGAAGATGCCTTTGTTATTTTTTTTTGTCATCTGGGATATCTTAACTCCGGGCCGTAGGGTATCGTGTCCCAAACCAGTTTCAATTTGAATTACTGATGTCACTGAGGCATGGGAGAGGGAATATTTAATCGAGGGGTCAGAGCTTTTCCTCAAACCTTTATTTCTGTTTTACATTACTCTCTCCTCTTTTTTCTCCATCTTAAATCTAATTCCCTTGCTCTATCTTCACATATACATGTAATTGGATAGTATTGTCTTCATAGCCAGTTGGGTCACTTAAATACGTATGATACAAAACCGTAAATACTTTATAGCTCCCAAATACAACTTTAGCTATTCAACCTAGTAAATCACACATGTATATTGTCAAGGCAGAAGATTATTTTTAAATACATTTGAGGTGGATGTAGTTAATAAATGATATGGCTTTTTATTTAATTAATAGCCCTTGATTTATTCTATGTAAAACTGGCTTAATATCTTGACTTGTAAAGTAATCACATTAAGGGTATTGTAACCCCTATCATCCAGGTACCAAAAGTGAGTTTTTTTTCTTTTGCTGCATTTAATTATTCAATAATGCATCTATCTTTATGCTGGTTAAACAAGATTTGACATCTGTCCATGTCTATGTTATGTAAACTTTTGTAAAAGAAATAATAAAATAATGCCTTCAGTAAAGAAGGAATTTAATTTGGTTGGCCGTTAGCTAACGGTTATGGAAGTTTTTCGGATTGTGTTGAAAATTTTCTTATATAATAAAACTACCAAGCTAATGAACATTTTTGCTCAAGAAAGTTTTAAATTAAAAGGCTTCAAAATGTTCCAAATTTGTTATGATCAGAAATAAAAAAGTATGTACATTTCTCTTACCTGTACATCCACTTTCACTTTACGTTAGGCGTGACCTAAGAGAGGACGCAAACACACCTCAAGTCTGTGCCAAATGAAACCAGTTCCCTTTGTGTGGGTTTTTCTGTTGTTGTTGACACAATGAATATTTATAGTCTATACGGTGTCCCTAAATATCATTTCAAACCATTTCCTTTTTCGCGAGTGTTATTTTCACTTACGGATTTTGACAAAATGAATACAAATTAAGAAAACGTTAAGGCTGTTTATCGCCCAATTTACATAAGTCGTCAGAAAAAATTGAAACTCTTTGTTATCTTGCGGAAGAATGCGGAACAGTTTCTACCGTACGAACCAATAGGGCGGCTGCTACTAGTGGTAATAAGGCTAATGTGACCTTGACATATTTGTACACAATTAAGAAAGGACAGGTTGTAAGAAGAAAGAAGAGACGCGTAATGACACGTTGTGCTAGTGTGAGTGTTGAGAACAATATATTGAAATTTAAAAGGAAGCAGAAATATATACGACGTCCAGCAGAAAACGGGATTGTTTTATTGTGTTCTAACGAGAGTCACCTGGCCACGCCCAGTACAAGAATGCATCCGCTTGTATGCCTACTGCAACTAAACACTATACTCCAGTATTCATAAACTGATGAAAGCAATATTGCGTTAGTTGCGACTTGGTGACTGACTTGTTGCAGTAGAAAGCATATAAAGTGAAGAGGGTTGAGAAAGATATAGGTGCAAATTCAATTACGATATATAATGATAACATATCCCGCACGAAAACCCAGTAGATACTCCAGCGCAGTAGCTACTGCAATCATACTGCAACCATGCCTCATATTTGCTTCAATTTGGGAGCTAATTAGCATGCAACATTGGTCACCAAGGTTGTGTCACCCCCAGTTTCATGTGCTTAGGAGTTAATTGCTATGAATGGTGATTTTTATGCCAGAAGCCATAACTAACATTATTAATTATACAGAAAATACAAACTTGCGATGAAGATATCAAAATTCAATACCAATATTTCACATTTATTACCTGTACCCCCTCAAATCCGATGTTCCACTGTAATTTCAACGGAGGTAAAGAAATGCCTATTTAATTGAATTGACACCACCAAATGTCACTAAACTTTTACACATTTAGCTTAAGGGTGTGCTCGTTAAAGGCCACGTGTCTATTAGCGTGTGTGTTCTCCGCGTTTTGTAATAAGCTTATGTAGACGGCGCCACTGACTACAACAAGGGTAACAATTCTGTTTTGTGGGATATTGCCCCTTATTGCCTAGAAAGCTTAGCGGAATTTGGCGGGACTATTTGGAATTTGGTTGGCCTCTGAATTGCACACTTCAATTAATGCCACGGGTGCTCAGTAGGTTTATTATCTGGATTTAAAGATTATTTAGCCAGCCTCAGAACAAATCACCAGGGCCAGCCTGATTAGATTCAGCGTACCTAGCCCAGGCTAGGTCCCCGTTCCAATTCGACCCGCTTTGTACCGTTTCAGGGACTTAGAAAAAAACCCTGGTTGCAAAATGCGTTGCAGTTGCAAAATGCGTTTTCACGATTTTCTTTGGTTGCAAAATGCGTTCGGTTGCAAAATGCGGCTCTACAGCGGTAAGCAACATCTTGAACAAAATGCTATCAGAGTCCATGCTTAGAATAACTTCACAGACAATCAGTGCCTAGATTAATGAACTAGCCCAGTTCTGCTGTCTCCTGTATCAAGAGCCTCGTGGTGGGGCGTACATCTCAGGTGACTCCGGCTATCAGGACGAGTGAGGTGTGTTCTCACGTACACCCAGGTCTACACTTAGTGCAGATTTAAAGGCAAATATTTATCGCCATCCTCTTAAAACAGTTTTTTTCGTGTTAATCCCAGCCATTTTCCGTAATATTTACTTTAGCGATAAAGGAAAAGTCCCTCAATTATCCAGGTGGTAATTATCAGTGTTTATTCTTTCACTTTTAACATTTTACGTATTTGATATTTATTCATGTTTTGTATTTTACGATATAAAAGTACTGCTTGCATTAATGAGAATAGTTTGAAGGTATTTGGAAGGTTCCAAAATCCCTTAAAATTAGACGTTAGTAATCTGTTGTCCAACAACAGTTATAAATGACAAATAAGGAAACCCTCTTAGCGAAATAAAAAGTATAAAAAAGTAGATGGCAGAAGTATTTTGATGGTCTGCTCAACCCAGGAAATCAAGATAGCACATCGCACCAATTTCATCCCAGTTACCCAGAAGAAGAAGATCCAATAATTAAAGAAGCAGAGGTAAGAAAAGCACTCAAGACAATTAGCTTAAGCCCGAAAAACAAAGCTGGCTATGGGAAGTATGCTTATGACATGCATATAGCGTAAGCTGGTGAAAATAAAATCTAAAATTGTGTTCGTATACATAGGGCTTTATACATCAACAAGATATCGATACAATAAACTAGACACTGCAAATAAAAAAAAAAAATTTACTTAAAGGTACATACGAACCGATCGGGGATTCCCAGTAAAACATATAAACCACTTCTACTAGTTTCTTATACAACTCAAATGAATTCGATTGGCCAAGGGATAAACTGAATTGATCACTCGATCAGCCATAAAAGAGCTTAAGACTGCTCCTTTCTTTAAATTTATGGTCAGAAATTTAACCTACTTTCGTGACCTACTTTTCTGCCCCATTGACATGCAGCATAGAATGCTAGCGGAAAAATCCATTCAAACATCATTTTCGGGTAAAATTAAGCACTGCCTTTTGGTAATTCCCTTAGTTATACTACTTGAAACTATATGCTGGCATTTGGTCGGTTTTTGTGACAAAAAATTGACTTTGTATGCATCTTTAACAGATTCTGTCCAAAGATTGATCATGATTAACAGTGTTTGAAGGTGTTATTTCTATAAACACAGACTTAATATATACACTATTCATATTTTTAAAGTTATTTAGTGGAAATTTGTTGATTAATATTATATATATATTTACATTGTAGGAGAACCAGACAGTTCTAACGCTCTCCTTCTCCCACCACATCTAGCACAGCATTCACGACATCTTTTGCTTTTGAATTATATTGGCTATGTATGAACTATACTACACAAGATTTTTATTCTACGTCACAAATATGAATCAAATAATCATGCATTTAAAACGTGTAAAACCGACCACGAGAGTGTTTCAACAGCCAGTCACTAAATAATGCCTCAATTCATATCAACATAGAAAATCGAACATGTTGGTTGAAGGGCAGTAAAACGCATGTGTTGTAAATGGAATGAATTTCTAAATTTACTTTTAAACTGCACATACAAGATACACATTTAAACCAAACCAAACCAAACCCAAAAGGCTTATAATGTAAATGATTATATATATAAAAAAAAAAAAAAAAAAAAAAAAAAAAAAAAAACCGCCAGGGTCTCAGCAAACCATTGCTTTTTGTTTATAATGATAAAAAACAATAATCATAGAAATCATAATTTATTTCTATAACTAAAAATCAATCCTTGAAATTCTTCAGTAACATCATTGTAACCTAAAATGTCATTTTGATTCGAAAAATGTGTCCTCCAATTGGACAAAGTTCAGTTGAGGAACCTTTGTTAATGTATTTCCAACCGAAGCTAACCGTTTCTTCCTAATTATCTACACTTCCATAAGACATATATTCCTTTTCTAAAGGCCCATCGCTCGTATTTTGTGACCTTGGTTCTTCTGCTTGTGAAAGGGGCAATGTCTCACTATCTGCCTCCTTCGTGTTATTTGTATCTCCAGTGTGACTGCGTAGGTTATTTTTACAACACTTACTTATGCAAAAAACAAAATGATAAAAAATAAAACAGATCAAGCATAAAAGCGGGAGAAGAAACAATCCAAACTACACTTTAATAACACCATCTAATACCTCCTCACTTATACCTAATGGTTGCCCAGTGCCAAAATCTCCAACTTGAATGGCGTTAAGCGCGCCGACTATTACCAGAATTAAACTCGACAAGACATATATTATATTGGCTACAGCACCGCGTAATGGTCGTATCCAAGATACCAACACCAGATGGACAGCACTGAGAAATATGAGAGTAGGTATTCTTACCGCCTGCTCATTCAATTTAAATTTGCTTACCGTAGTAAAAATGAAAAGATATAATAGTTCAACACCTCCCCACGCCGAAAAAAGAAAACCGGACCAGCAGGTTGTAATACATACATCATTTGCAAATGTAATATCATTTTGATAATTTTCCTGGTTATTATTTTGACCTTTTTGATTATTTTTTTTCCTATTCTGTTGGTTTTCCTTTACCTTTATTTTCTGTTTATCGCTGCGCCCTTCTTGTGCAATTTAATCAAATACTGTAGTGATACAGGTCATAAGTAGGGTCGTGGTACACTGGCAATTCTTTTTACAACAGCATTTGAAGCAAGACATGACAAGTATTATGAGGCCAAGCGGAAGTGTGGGTAGCCCAGGCAATATACAGATGGAGAACCAAATTACAGAGTACTTCTGTTCACAACACTTTTTACATGTACATCCAAGAGGGCAGCAATTCCAATCACACACTTTCTCACATCGATTATATGATAAATACATAACAACCAAAGGATAAATCCCCAGGAGAGCAATTAAAATAACCATGATAACAAAACAAGGTAAATCTGATGGTACAGGAAAGGAATTATCAATGACCTTCCTATTTAATCCGCTCTCAGCATATGTAGGCACGACGATGCTTACAACAATTGGACAAACTATACCATATAAAAATCGCCATAAAGAGAAATACTGCTTGACACAAATGTAAAGAAAAGTACCCTTTATATCTGTGCTGCCATCTTCTTTGCCCCCCTCCTTAAACCTGGCCTCGGTAACACAAGGTAGGCAGGAAGTCTGAATATCCAGCGTATTGTATGTAGGCACTATTGTTCCATTCCCGCTTAGGGCCTCCCCTTCTCCATCGCCCCCCTGAGCGCTGTCATTTGTATTTCCACTTTTATTTGATAAGCAACACAAAGATAAAGCTATAAAAAACCAAGTAAATATCGGTAGAGAAAAAAGGAAACCCAGGAGTTGAAAAGCAACCC